CGCTCATCTCGCTTTATCGGCCGAGGGAGCCGGCGTACAGCTTCCGGGTCATGTGGCCAGGTATTCATAACCCTTTAGTCTATGGTCCTTTAGAAGGGTGAACAAGATGAGGGGCCTGGAAACCAAGCCTGATGAAGAACGGTTGAGGGAAATGGGTATGTTTAATCTGGGAAAGAGAAGATAATGATAGCCATCTTCAAATATCTAAAGGGCTTGTCATGAGAGTTGGGTACCGGTCAGTTCCCCTGTTGTCTGCATGCAGGTCTTAAATTTAAAGTGAAAGGGAGTTGGTGAACTATTTTTTTCATTGTCTTTCTGCATCTTGTATTCTGTTTTCAGCAACAAAAGATCAGAAGAAAAAGGCTCATTACAGAGACAAAATAACAAGTTACATGGACAGGGCAGAAGAGATTAAGAAATATATTGAGAAAGAGAAAGAAGGTATGAAGCTGTAATGTAAGTTTCATTATTATGGCTGTGGAATTATATATTGTATTTTTTTTTCATTCAAAGATGCCATACTGCATTTTTTTTTCAAAGTGAAAAGTTTTCTTCTTTTTAGATGGAAAATACCACAAACAAATTAAAATAGAAGAAAATTCAAAAGGTTTCAGCTATGAAAAGCTGTTCCAAGAATATCTTAATGAAACTGTTACAGAGGTTTGGGTTGAGGACCCTTACATTAGGCAAGTCCATCAGGTAAGACATGGTTGATTTATACACTCAAAACGATTTCTTCTTTTCCATCTAAAAAATTAATCTTATTTACTTATTTACAGTTGTACAACTTCTTAAGATTCTGTGAAATGCTTGTTAAAGGACCATGCAAAGTGAAAACTATACATCTTCTTACTTCTCATGATGAAGTAAGTATTTTACCCTGACTGCAGTCCACTTACTTGGATTGTGTCCCAAGGAATTCAGTGATACTTGCTTTTGAGTAGATGATGATGATGATGATGATAATGATAACAACAGCTAGACTACCAGGTCTCCAAACACTCTTAAATATGAAATGCATAGGGTTGCAGTGTTGTCCATATAAAGTTGTACTTACTGAAGTTAAGCAGTTACTGTAATTGCCATGGCAAAAGTAAAAAAAGGATTTGCTTTTGGCAATGCATTTTTCAGTTAACATTTTGCTAACAGTAATAATATATTCTGGATTCAGAATGGGTCTGAAATTAATATGCTATCTTTTTTCTTTCTGAGGATACCGGTCTATTTCTGACAGATATCTTCAACAACTCAGTAGTGAGGGAAACAAGATGGAAAAGATTGCTATATTTTGCACCTAAAAGTAGACACTTTTTGTACTGGGGAGATTGTTTTAGGGTAAGAGGGGGCTTGCGAATAGCCACTCATCAAATTACCTGTGTTTACTAACAATAGGGAAATAAGACGTTTTTATTAATTAGAAGAGAATGTTAATTAGAAGAAAATTTTGTTGTGAACCGCCTTGAGATCTGTGGATGAAGAGCGGTATACAAATTTAAATAATAGTAATTAAATTTAGGTAATTATAATAAAGGAAACTGCTTTATACTGATTTAGACGATTGCTTGATACTGTCTATTGATTAGCCAGACTCTTGAATGTTTCAAGTCGTTTCTCAGCCTTCCTGGAGATGTGAAAAATTGAACCTGGGATGATATTCATGCAAAACATGTTTTTTACAAGAGGGTGGTTCTTCTTTCAAGCCATCAGTGTGCTACAAATGACATAATTTAACTGTGTTTGGAGAGCTAGTAGTCTAGTTTTTAAAAAATGTGTGAATAATCTTTTATGGACTTCATCGCAAGTCTTAGTTTGAATCCATAGTTAGAAGTGTGTGTAGGTGGGGCTTGGTTTGGTGTGTGGTGTTTTCATCTTTTGTCCTATGACATCTAGCCTCTTAACTTTTACTATCTACCAAACATACACATTCCATTTCGTAAGATACTTTGCAGGAATTATGATTAACGTTAAATTTGAGTATCTGCATTGGTAAAAGTGAAAATATTGAAGAGGCTTATTCATTCTGAGAAATACGACCAATATGAATTTACAGTATGTCGGCCATTATCTTTATTTGATTTGTAAAGCAAACAAATCTTTACAGGGCAATGAAAAGAGTCAACAAATGACTATCCTGGAAGAGATACAACAATCCCTGAAAGATTTTGGCGTTACTCTGGATGTATCATACTCTCCGTCAATACACGATCGAGAAATTAGGTTGGTGACATGTGCATAAAATGTTCCACATTGTCTAAGATACAGGTGGTGATAATCAACTAAATCATAATGATAGCATATCCGTTGAAATCAATTGATAACATTTATTCCAGCAGCTCAACCCTGAGAATGACTAACGGTGGCTATCGCCCATATAATTGATTACTAAGACTGTTATCCTAATTCCACTTACCTGGAAGTAAGCCCCGCTGAATCCAGTGGGGTTTACATTTGAGTAAACATGGTTGGAATTGCAGCCTAGGTTTATCTTCAAACCTTAGAGTTGTCAGTTCAGGTTCTGGAAACTTGTTAACTTTTAAGAGTATTTAGCAGTGGTGTCTCCTGCCAGCTGTTCAAATTACCACTTGTCCCCCTGCCTGCCTGCTGCTGAACAAAAATTACTACAGCAAGTCAAATGATGGGAAGAGCAGTCAAAATATTTATATGCACACCTGCGGTTAATATATATTTAGCAGGTAACTGTTCGTTTCAACTTTGCATGCCATGGAGAGGCAAAGATGGCCTACTTCATATATTCTCCACCCCCCTCCCCCTTAGGCTTCTATTGGAGTGTCTGCTTCATGTGAAATGGTATTTGTATGGGAAAGGGCTGACACTTGCATCACTCCTCCATGTTGCAAATTAAGGCCATGCCCTGCTATGAACATCGTTGTTAACTCAATTGGAACAACTTGAAAGTTGCAAAGATTGAAATTGCCAACTATCATCTGTTCTTTGCTCATTGTGCTCCCTGAGCTTTTTACATATTAAGAGTGCTGTGAAATTATTTCTTTCTCTTGTTAACCTTACATATGTCTAGTTTCTATATTTTTGAGGGAGCACTTCTCTTTTTTGCATTTAACACACAGATTCAACAATGGATGGATGATTAAAATTGGAAGAGGCCTTGATTATTTTAAGAAACCACAGGTGGGAACTGAATAGAAAAATATAAATTTTAAAATAAATTTGAATTGCTGAATGGCTTAATTGTAGAATAATTTGTTTTCCACAGGGTCGTTTTTGCCTTGGATACTGTGATTTTGATTTGAGACCATGTCATGAAACTACAGTGGACATCTTTCACACTAAACATACAAAGAAAACATGACCCTAAGTACCCAAACCAACCAGTCTCACTGGTGTGTTTGTTTTTTGAGCAAGAGCTACTTTATTCCACTACATCCACTATGAATTTTTGTAAAGTAAACTGATTGTATTTTTTTTAATTTAAAAAATCTGCACATCAGCCTGATAGCTTATCTAAACAAAATGTCATGTTTACCCCCAGAGTAATGAACTGTCGGTGAAGATCACAATTCTGATTTACTTCCTTGTGCTGGGCTATCTGATTTGCTTCCCATACCATGTGGAAGGATACTCTAAAAAGCCTCTGAAGTAAAACATTAGACTACTGCATTTGTCTCTTAACAGCTACAATTCAGAAAAACCTGATTGGTGCACAGGAAAGAACTGTGCATATAGCTGGAAGATTTATAGAAGTTTTCACTACAGCCATTTGCACTGCATATAGATTTAAATTTTAAAGTGAGAAGTTGGCTGTTTCTTCACCATGTGGTAGAAGTGTCAAAGAAACCCTCTGTCAGCATTTTCCTCTTATTTTCACTGGGCTGGATTCAGACTAAATTAGTTGTGCTTTAGTCCCATACATAGCCATGGGACAAGTTAATCATGACTAACTTAAACTTGGCTAATTTCAGTTAAACTAAAGATGTAACTAGCTTAGTCTGGACACACCCCATATTAACCTCAGGGACCACCCACAAGTTAAACAGGGACGCTGATGGTTCCCAGGCTATATTTCAAGAATCACTGAACTAAGCAAGTAGCAAAAATCTTCCAAACTCAGATATTATACGCATCTTAAATGTGTGAAAAAGCAGCTAACTTCCTTGAGGATCAAAACTGGTAAGATGGTACAGCTATGTGTAATAAAGCTGTCCACTTAATATGCTCAAGGAATTTGGAACCGTACAGGGAGCTTTTGCCTTATATGCCAATTCTGAAGAAACAGAATTCTGGGGTGGGGGAGTTATGCAGCTTCTGTCACAATAACAGGCAGGTGTCACCACGCAACAATGGAGTTTCCCACATTAGGGGAACCCCAGACCGGCATAATACAGACACGTACGTTTTTATCTTTCACTGTGGGTTACTTTTGAGGAGAGGCAGAACTCTTATAAAGGAAAGCAACCCAGACAGACACAGGCTTCGACATTCTAGAATCAGCACAGCAAGATTGAGCACTATGCCAACCTGTCAACAATGGGAGAAGGCAAGAACATTCCTGTGAACCTCCATTAAATGGTGGCCTCTTGGTTAATCCCTATGTTCTAGGTCTCTCTTTTAAAGCCACCTCCTAATAAACGGCTAGAAAGTATTTGGTCACCAAAGTCTTAAATACATTTACATTGGCAATTGACTTAAGTAGAAGTTGCTTTCAAGTAAATGGGCTTAGGCTCTCGAGCTAACAATGCCTAGCATGATTCCTCTATTTCATGCATGCCATGTCTTACTAGAACTGGGAATTCGGAAGGCATAAATTGACTTTGTCTTGAATATCTAAGTTCATGTTTTTAATGCAATACTATGCTATGTTTCTTTCTACCAGTATTTTTATTTTGTTTTATACTATTTGCAAGCCGTTGTATGATCCATTTGGGCAAGTCTGTAGGATGCTAACTTTAAGAAATAAATATGTAAATTTTAAAAGAGAAGACTTCTAAGGACTGGTGATAACCATTTTTTAAAAAATGACTTGATTAACAAGTTTGTATTTTTTAATTTTCTTTATGTTTTAATAAAAAGTGAATTTGTTTACATTCAGCAGTCTATTACTTCACTATTAAATTTCACGTCCGGCCAAGTCCTTAAAACCCTCTGCTAGAATAAGACTGTATTGATAAAGGATTGATGATCAGGAATCAACTACATTAGAGATACTATATTCTCACACAAGAGATTCCACTTGCTGTGTATCTTGTAATCTGTGCATGTTCTCATCAAAGCAGCTGCTACTGCAGTGGTTTCATTTGGACAGAATTTGCTGCCAATAAGATGGTTTTTCAGTTCATCACACATGATTGGTGGCAACCAGAAGGGAGGCACATCAATGTTGCAAGTTTCAATCTTTCCATTTTTTACATCCACATTTATCTTCATTTCAAGGCAAGATTGTTCATCAACTATATTAAAGGATGTGCTAATACTGAACTTTGGTGTTTTGCCATATAGCCAATCCCAGGATTGCAGTTCTTTTGCTTTGTTATTAATTCCAGGGAATTCCGTTTCATCAGCTGGATTTATTTCAACAATATGGTTATCAGTTTGGTGGTATGCAGCATATTCTTCTGCAATGGCATCAATGAGCATCTCACAAGTTAAAGTAGGCTCTTCTTCAAAGAGATTTTTCACTAAGGCAGGTACACTTGGCGTGGCATTGCTTTTTATCCCATTGTAAGGACTTTTGAGCACGGTTGATAAAATAAATTTATCAGCACTGCAGAGCAGGGTGCAGTGGTGATAAGCAGCAGTCCTTCCTAATTTTGCAGCCGTTCCTGAGATTTTAAAAATCCCATTTAACAAGAGGTCGTATCTCTCTGTAGCCTCCACATCTAATTGGGGCCGCAGGGCTTTCAATGCTTCAACCACTAGTTTTAAATTTTCCATTCTTTTGTACTTCTTCCTATTTGTAAAGAAAGTGAGATTGATGTTGCCAGGATCATGGTAAACTGTTCCTCCCCCACTTTTTCTTCTAGCTAGTTTTATACCATTCTGTCTCATGAATCTGAGATTACATTCCTGCCAAGGATTCTGATGTCTACCAATCACTACAGTAGAAGAATTTCTCCAAAGGAAAAGAATGTGTCTGTTTTCAAAATTCATATTATCATGGATCCAATCTTCTAAAGCTAAATTCTGATAAACATCCTGGGAAACAGACTGCAGGATCAGTCCTCTTGTTGCGCATTTGAAGCCAGCAGCTGGAACTTTGAGGACATTGTGTAACTGGAAGCATTTCCTCAGAGATGACCGGATTATCATGTTTTAGTCTAACAAAGCAATCAAAACAGCATAGGGCGATACACGTTTTGCATAGTCCCTTTCAAAACCCTTTCAAAATATCATGTTTGTTTCATTGGAAAATCCTTTAAAACAATTCTGTTGAATCAGATTTTTTAAAAAGACTTATTTCTCCTTTCTGACAAGTAGATAATAGTGTTTTATATGACTGAATAACATGCAGAAATTGCCTATTCCAGTTGTGTGTTTTATTGACCACCTAAGGGAAAAAACACAGAATTCATTGTTTACCCTCAAATAGCTCGTATAAGAGGCTATAAAAGATTTGCTAGGGTAATTTGTGGCTTTACGTTAATCATTGTAATCCTTTGAAATACCAAAAAGGTATTATTAGTTATTAGGCCTTAAGCTACAAAGGAAACAATACATTTCCTCCCACTCTCATTAATTTCACAGCCCAGCCATATATGCCAAACTGGCGCAAACGGATTTTCAGCATTCAACTTTTGATATACCACAGGTTTCCACTCCCTGTATTGGGATAGCACCAAGAATAAAGCGTGCGTGGCAAACGTTTTCAGTTTTGCGCTGCACCACAATCACCCTGGGCAAATTGCAGCAGTTGCTTCTGTGGTCAGAGACTATATTTTTGCAGGTCCTGATGGAGACCAAGGCCAGGCTGTGCACCCGAATAAGCTTTGTTCCATGCTGGCAGGCCTGGCAATGGAGATAGAAAAGGCTCATTCTGCGACCCACCCGCTCGAATTAAACTGAATGCAACCTTGCTAGGACAAAAAAGCAAACCCCCATCGAGCTACATGGGGCTCTGCGGATGGGACTGCCGCCCTAAGGCACCCGACCCTCTCAAGGACACCTTGCCCAGCTTCCGCGGGGCGCCACCGCGAAGATGGGAAGAGCATGGCAACAGAAACCCCTTCCAGCTTCTCCCAGCGCGCCCCGATACCCGTCGCCCTACTTACTGGGGATCAGCTCCCTTTGTCCACGCGGGACGCGAATTAAGTAGCCAGGCGGTGGCCATAGATCTAGAAATCAGGAGCAACGCGCGCAGATCTACATAGTGAAGAGTCGCAAAGTCTGGATTGGGTTGCTCCCCTTCAAAAAGTGTGCGTCTGTTTCTAAAGGAACTTTCGCCACAGCTGGTACCTTTGGGCGGACACTCTGCTGCGCAACAGCTACTCCGAAATCCTTGATTTCGCCATTTGTTTTCCATTGAGCAACACACATCCTTGTCAGAAGGTCCCGGAAGTTGCCTATACAGTACAGGATTAGAGAGAGACTATGGTTTTTGTCCAAATGTAGTCGCACAAAATTCCTTCCGGGTGCGCACAATAGAACCCGCCTGTGAGTTCCTATCAGGAGTGCTCACTTCTTTCCGGCAAAAAAAGTGGCATATTTCAAACAGTGAAAATCCAGACAGAAAAGTTGCTTTTGGCACAATTGTTGAGCTTTTTACTTTTTTGTCCAATATTGCAAATCGCAACAAAGCTGTTTTGGAGCTATTTTTATGGAGGCACTGCCGACACGGGCTGCCATACGTCCGTACTTTCCCGGATATTTAGATGCCTTCCTACCACTGTTGTTCGCTCCCCAGCAGCTGTTTCCATGGCACTTAACGGCATTTTTCTTATTAGCGGGCAGAGGGGCGGGAGTAGATGCTGTGGAAGAGCATTGAAGCGCACGGATATTTGCAGAGAAAGGCTGTCATCTGCATCGGCACTGTAATGGTTTTGCCATTCTCTGTTGCCCTGAAGCAGACAAACCAGCCCGACAACATGAGAATCCGTATCCAAAGATTTGGCTCTTAAGCTCTGTTTTTGTTTTTGTTTTCTTTCTGAATATAAAATAGCAAAGTCTTATACCATAAATATAAATTGGCAAAAGCATTTTAACAAATGTCATTGAACATCCGTTATTTCCAAACCATCATTTTCTTTAACAAACTTTTGAGAACCGACTACATTATTAGAACTAGCTTCTGAGGGAGTGCCTACATTATTTTGTATCCCTTCTGGTATATTTTTTCCTGTGTTTTGGAAAAAGCCAGTCATAGGTCCTAAACTGATTTCCTCAGTGTTTTGAAATAAATGGTCATTTGCGCTTGGAGTTCCAATATTTGTGTCATTCTGTATTATAGATACTGGTGTCTTTGTTTTACTACAACAGTTCCCCATGGTGTAGTTACCATGCAGATATCAGAAACAATGCAAAGTCAGCGATGGTGGTCTTCAGGGAGACTGCTGCATAAACCCTATGCAAAAAAACCCAACAAAATACTATTAGAATAACTGAAGAAATTCCATTAACTAACGTGTGATTCTAGCAACTATGCATTTTGTTTCTGGAAGAAATATTAAGATGCAGGAAATTTAACATTCATTCTACTTAAATGAACAAACACAAAGAATATGGCCCCTAATACACACACAAAAAAACACTGAAAGTGCAGGACAAATTAACAATATAAGTAACAGTGGTTGTTATTAATGGAAATAGCAATACAATATGTATTAACAGCAGGGTTTTTATTCAACTGGAACTCACTGGAACTTAGTACTGTACCTCTCAGGTGGGTGCCATTGCCATTATAAGAGAACAAGGGAGACGTTCATGGTGTGTTCCAGCACCTCTTTTTCTATAAAAATAACACTGGTTAACAGTACAGTGGTACCTCGGGTTAAGTACTTCATTCGTTCCGGAGAACCGTTCTTAACCTGAAACTGTTCTTAACCTGAAGCACCACTTTAGCAAATGGGGCCTCCTGCTACCGCCACGCCGCCGGAGCATGATTTCTGTTCTCATCCTGAAGCAAAGTTCTTAACCTGAAGCATTATTTCTGGGTTAGTGGAGTCTGTAACCTGAAGCATATGTAACCTGAAGCGTATGTAACCCAAGGTACCACTGTACTGTAATTAAAAAAGTCCATTTGGGAACTTCTGTGCTTTGGTGTGGTTTAGGAGTTTGGGTATGGGTATGGGTGTGCAATCCAAGCTTGTGCAGAATTTTGGCAGTATTAACAAAGAGAACCAAACATTATTCATTAAACATATCAATAACACAGCCCGTTGTGTAAGTTGATAAGCAAGGTTATAAACATACTATAGTTGACAATGGGTTGTAGACTCAGTTGCTTGTGAGAATAGAGTAAAAAGGTAAAGGTAAAGGTACCCCTGCCCGTACGGGCCAGTCTTGACAGACTCTAGGGTTGTGCGCCCATCTCACTTAAGAGGCCGGGGGCCAGCACTGTCCGGAGACACTTCCGGGTCACGTGGCCAGCGTGACAAGCTGCATCTGGCGAACCAGAGCAGCACACGGAAACGCCGGTTACCTTCCCGCCAGTAAGCGGTCGCTATTTATCTACTTGCACCCGGGGGTGCTTTCGAAGTGCTAGGTTGGCAGGCGCTGGGACCGAGCAACGGGAGCGCACCCCGCCACGGGGATTCAAACCGCCGACCTTTTGATCGGCAAGTCCTAGGCACTGAGGCTTTTACCCACAGCGCCACCCGCGTCCCTAGAGAATAGAGTACATCTCACTAAATGTACTTCTTGTCTTCCATACAATTTTGGATGAGGCTCTAGGGTATGAATGGAACCTCATTATATTTTACCTGAAGCATCACATATCCAAGGCAAAATTACCTTTGGTATCGCTCTGTAACTTCAGCTCTGGGCTTCTCACATTGAATAGTATAGTAATCCTGGGATGCTGAACCACAATCCTGGAGGCAGAGGCGTCTTGCCCATAGAGGCAAGTGGCACAGAGCACCAGGACACCAAGTTCTGGAGGGCACCAGGGAAGAGGCAGAGGCCGGGCGGGGTGCCTCCCAGCATCAGCTCACTGCCCTTGCCCGCCTCACTGAAGCAGTACCGCGCCTGGAGCCTCCGCCTCTTCCCCGTCAGAGGAGCCACCCTCCAGCTGCTGCCCACCTCCTCCAGCACCGCAAAGGTCAGCAACTCTTGGAAACGGAGGTGGGGGTGGGGGGTGGTACGCCCTGCCTGAAGGGCAAATGTGGCCCTTAAACTCTCTGCACATCATCCTCTCCTCAGCCACACTTTCTCTCACCAGGGCACACCTCTCACTGCCCCTGCTTTGTATTCTTGTCTTAAATGTTTTTGCCTGGCTGGAATATGTCCTTGAACTCTGATATGCTTCTTGCTTACATGGATAGTGGTTGGGGAGGGGTGTGCATGTGTGTTTAGAAACTAGCCTATTGTACTAAGGTAAATTTCACATTAATTGCTCTATCCACTTTAGTCTCTGACCGTGAACACATTTGTCCCTAGTCCCACCCACCACCGGCACATGGCCCCTGGAAGATGGCCCAGAAGTGTATGCAGCCTTCAACCTTCACAATGTTTCCTACATTCAATCTAGACAATACGGCCTAATCTGTTGTAAGTTTTAAGTATGCAGCATCTTATATTGGTTCAAGGAGTTTGGCTGTATTGCCTTTAAATGGTGATTAATATTGTTATATATATATACACACACACACTACTATTCATATTTTGACCAAACTGCGGGAGGTAGTGGAGGACAGAGGTGCCTGGCGTGCTCTGGTCCATGGGGTCACGAAGAGTCGGACACGACTAAACAACAACACTATTCATATACTATAATATCCAGCAACTCAGTTAATTGTGTTAACTGAAAGAAGGCATCAGTTTATTGCTTTCTTTGTATCATTTTAATTATTTGCATAGATGACCACTTTGTTTCCACATTCTATAGCGCAACTATAGACCATCCTTATTTCTGTCATGAAAGGAGCCAGTTATCACATCTTCTTGTTACCCCCCCCCCGTTATATCACTTCTTTAAGCGCTTCTTTAAGGAGGAAAATTATATTCTGCTGCATTTCCCCTCAATTCAGCTGATAACTTTTATCTACAAAGCATGTTGCTATTCTCCTATGTCTCCAGAACCTGTTAGCTGCTCTACAGACGAAAACCAACTTTTGATTATCTGAATCCATGTATAAAACATGTTGTTTAGTATATATTTGATATCAGTTCACCCATCAGCCTGTAAGATACTATGTCTATAAAATGTTACTTAATTTATAAAAATATTTAAAAGTACAAAACTATGTCTATACTATTGCTGTTTAATGTGCCCTGAAATTACACATTACTGTGCAATGTGACATGAAATCCAGCCTCTATTTGTGAGGTAAATGCCACAGAGCACCTCGTTTTTTTATTGTATCTGAGAGCAGTAAGAGCAAACTGTAATTGCTACTAACCTGTCAGAGATAAGCATCAAGAATGCAAGATAACTTGGGGGCGTTATGGAAACAGAGTTAATCTATTTTCTCCATTATTTCATGAGCAGATTGCTGGTACTCGAAGCCAATCCCCAATGAGCATGTTCTCTCTAAACTGAGTTATATGTTTATATGAGATACTTTGTGTTGACTAGCAGCAAGGAGAGTCTCCTGGATACAAATTCCCTCTGCTAAAACCTACAGGATGTGGAAAGGCATGAAGCATATTTCTCATCTTCCTTCAGCCAACTGTTTTGCAGAACCCAAGAAGGAACTTTTATGATTTCAAAGTGCTTATTATTTACCAATAAGTGGGATCCACAACAAAATGTTGCAGGATGGAATTCTCCTCTACAGCTGTCCATCTAATTGGGCATGCCTTCTGCCGGAACTCTGCTGCCCCTTCCCCTCAGTTTTCTGTTTCCATCCACCTGCCAATATGCTGAGCATGATAGTATGTCCTCATTAGGCTCAAGGGAGGGGTTGCCACCCTTAAGCTTTTTCTTTTCTTAAAAGTTGTTCTTTTCATGTGTACAGTATTTGCAAACCTGGTGGTTACCTAAAGCGTGCTAATACCTCCCTCTTGTTTGTGAGTGGTGCTGTTTTGGCTGCATCAAGAGAGCGGCACTTGGATAAATGAGTCTGCTGGTAAGAGAGTCACCTGAACGAAATGTTGCAGTGCTGTATTGGCTGAAAAAACAAAAGTTATAATAATAAAGAAGACCCCCTATTTCATTCACGTGCATTTACAAAAAAAGTGCACCCAAGTTTGCAGTCCTGTTTAGGGAAGCTTTTAACGTTTAATAGGTTATTACATTTTAGTGTTTTGTTGGAAGCCGCCCAGAGTGGCTGGTGAAACCCAGCCAGATGGGTGGGGTATAAAGTAATAATAATAATAATAATATATTATAATATAATAATATATATATAATGCATAGGTGCTGCCATTTTGGTTACATTATGACAGGCACACAGGCAGCCCTAAAGTTCAGAGACAACACATAAACTGATGGTGGCATCTTTGGAAACCACCCTAAATCTTGCGCTGTCTCTGCGTGTCCTTAATTTCCCTGCAATATTAATAATAATAAAAGAAATACTAAGGGCTAAAGAAAAAATAATAGCAGACATAGGGCACTAGGGCTCTGTGCGACATCCCTGCGCAAGAACCTGACCCCCCACCCCACCCCTCCTACGCCCCCGCGATAGAACTGCAGGCGCAGCACGCCCTTCCTTCCAACAAGGCGGCCCTCGCCCCCCCCCCGCCCTCCCGGCGCCGCGCGAACGCCGCGCGGCGTTTGGGGCGCGAGCAGCGGTTGACGCGGCCGGACGGAGTGCGCCGCGCGCGGGGGCGCCAGATGAAGGGGGCGGGGTCAACAAGAGGAGCGCGCCCCTAGCCCGGTTTTGTCTAACAGGTAGCGAGAGAGCCGGAGGGGAGGGGGGAGCGTCGCGGCGCCGTTGCTAAGGAGACGCCGCGAGGGGCCAGGGAGGGACGTCCATTGTGCCAAGCGGGTGGGGGAGTTAACAAGCGCTCAGGGCGTCCTGAGGAGAATAATCAGAGGGGGTCTTGAGAGAGACGCGGACATTAACTTCCTCCCACTCCCCCCCCCCCGCAATTATTATTGATTTTTTGCTGTGGGGGCGGGCATGACAGCTGCCTGGCTGTCACCCCCCCTTCCTCACTAGGTGAACCCGCCCGTCACGCGCCCCACGCCGCGCGGCCGTTGAGGTGAAGCAGGAGGCGGGGGATTGTTGCCTCCGAGGCGTCGTCGCTTACGCTGGCCGCTCATTGGTCCGCCGGGATTGAGAGGGAAAAGGAGGCGAAGGAGCGGGCGAGGCTGAGGAAGCTGAGTGGAGGAGCGGCCGAGTGAGAGAGAGAGAGTGGGGGGAAAGGCAGGAATATTAGCTTAGTTTAGCTGCCGTCATGAGCTCTAGGAAATACCCCGGGCCCGGGCGCAGGAGGAGAAGAGAAATTCTTTCCAAGGTACAGAGAGCCCTTAACATGGGCGTAGCTGGGGGGGGGGGGAGAGAGAAAGGCAGCTGCTTGCCCCCCACCCCAATTTATTTTTTTTTAAAGTAGAAACTGTAGAAAGTTTTTGATAGATTTTTCTCAGCGCTTTGGGGCGTGGGGTCAAAAGAAAGTAATTTAAAAACCTAGCTCCGTCGGTTAGAGAGCATGGGGCTGGATCATGCCAAAGTTTCATGGGTTCGATCCCTGTATGGGACTGGGCAGCCGCCTATTCCTGCATTGCGGGTGGGTGGACCCTCAGAGGGACCCTTCCAACTCTGCAACTCCCATGATCACACCATACATTTCATTCCGGAATCTGCTAGGCAGAACCAGACCGGATGATGAGGGCAGGTGGGTTGTCCTGCCCCAACCCAAACATAAATCCTGGCTATGCCCATGGCCACCAAGGAAATAAGGCTAGGAAGACACCCCACTTGCTGGCCAGGCAGACTGCAGAGATATGAGGCTATATGTAGGTGCACATACTGAGCGGTTGTGCTTGCTTGAAGCAGGTGGTGGTGTCTTTTACTTGTAAGCATGGGTAGCTGCAATCCTGAACAACCCACACTGTGGAATAGATGGATTTTCAGCTGCCCACCGCACCCCACCGAAAAGGTTGCAGAGTAGAATGAAAGAAAATCCACAAGCCCAACATGTCCCTAGTATTATATATGGGAAATACACCAGCCATTTCCTCTCCTTCCCTTAGGGTTATTTCTAAAGTTATATTTTTTATATATAAAATAAAAGTTTAAGAAGTTTCTGGCGTAGCAGCTACCCCTGAGAGTGCCTAGCTGTTAAGTCCTCAACCAAAACAAACTCTACTGTCATGGCGACCGATAGCCTTACATGGTGTCAAGTAGGCATGGATTGACCCCTCCGGGTGCCTTTTCCTTTTGCACAGAATTAATCCAGAGTCAGTTTCATTCAGAATAAGCACATAACTGTGGTCGCAAATACAAGGGGGAGAATTCCAGTTTATTTTAGAAAGCAGATGCTTCCTTCTCTTAACACTAAATCACATAGCCCAGTAAATGTATAATCATATACAGTAATCATGGAAAGCATATATAAGTGATAGATGTTTATCTGGTATTTTTAAAATATTCCTTTAAACACAAAATTTACTGAAATTCTAGCATTGCTTTTTCAAAGTCATTATCAGACTTTTTTGTTTTGCTAGAAAAATCAGTGTGAATAAGCTTTGAGTTCTGTGATTTTGTTTTAAAGGTGCGTGTTAATATAAAAAGGGGAGTGTATGAGATTGGGATTCAGCACTATTTGCTGAGGCTTTCCGGTGTGTGATTGCCTGCATTTGTGTGTCATAATATCCTCCATGTGACAGCCCTTTAGATTTGATAGTCATCTTCAAATATCTAAAGGGCTATCAGAGGATGGAGCAAGCTTGTTTTCTCCTGCTCTGGAGGCTAGGACCTGAACCAATGAATTCAAGTTACAAGAAAAGATTCCAACTAAACATCAGGAAGAACTTCCAGGCAGTAAAAGCTCTTCAACAGTAGAATGGACTCCCTTAGGAGGTTGTGAACTCTCCTTCACTGGAGGTTTTTAAGCAGAGGTTGAATGACTATCAGTCATGTATGATCTAGTTGAGATTCCAGCATTGCAGGGGGTTGGACTAGATTACTCCTGGGGACCCTTTCAACTCTACCTATGATTCTATAGAGGATTCTATATAAGTCTTCTCTCCTACTGAAAATGTTGATGCTTGCTATTCTCGTGGTAGAAATAATTAAAAATAAAAGAACCTTGTGAACATTGGCATGGCGGAGGGGCTGCTGCCCCCCCAATCAAGTAAATAAATAAAATTACTTACTGGTAACTAAAAATAAAATTGTAGAAGGATTTTGACAGATTTTTCTGAGCACTTGTGGTCAAAAGAAAGTAATTTAAAACAACAGCTGTTGAGACGTTTTATTCCGAAGCTGTTAGACAGAGTCATATGGAGAATAATGACAGGTGGGTGTCCCGCCTCCATTAACATAAATCTGGGCTACACCCATGCTTGTGAACTGTTATAGAAGTAGGACTAAGCTCAACATTTAAGATGGCCCTAGTTATTAATTCCCAATGTACACATTGGGGAGATTAATTCAGTGGTACATACTTCCCAGTAAACATAGGATTTGGTTGCCTAGGCATTACTCTGACAAGTAAGGGATGTGGGTGGTGCTGTGGTATAAACCACTGAGCCCTGGGGCTTGCTGATCAGAAGGTCGGCGGTTTGAATCCCTGCAACGGGGTGAGCTCCCGTTGCTCCACTAGTGCAAGCAGAAGCAGTATAGTCATGCTGACCATGTGACCCGGAAAGCTGTCTGTGGACAAACGCCAGCTCCCTCGGCCTGAGAGTGAGATGAGCACCACAACCCCATTGTCGCCTTTGACTGGACTTAACCATCCAGGGGTCCTTTACAGTTACCTTTTAGCTAACAAGTCTTTTTTAAAAATGTAATCTGCTATTAATAAATAATAAGTCACTTACCAGACAATTTACAATATTTTTATCCATGTTTATCCAAGTTTTTCAGAAAAAAAGCTATAGAATACTTTTTCTGTTGTATAGTGCAGTCGTGAGCACATGTATTAGGGACTTATGCCCCATGAAGGAAGAGATCAGTAATCTCAGATCTTAATATGATATATTGTGGTAATTCATCTAATTAATGTTACTTATCATTTATCATAAAAACATATCTTTATAGATTGAAGTACTTTGTGTATTATGAATAATGTCATCTTTAGGCACAGAGGAAATAAAAGCAGATATAATGGCAAAAATACTATGGACACTTACCTGGGAGTATCACAGATTCATAGGGCTGGAGGAGGCTTTATAGGCTATCTAGTCTATCCCCCTGCTTGATGCAGGAAATCCAGAGTTGCTTCATCCTGGAAATATGGTTGTCCAGCCTCTGCTTGAAGACCTCCAGCAAGAAACAGCCAACCACCCCTGTAGGTAATTGGTTGCATTGCTTAACTGCTATTACCATCACAAATTTTCTCATAGAAATCTTGTCTCAAGTCTCATATACGGTAAGCAACATGCATAAGCCTAATTAATGTATAAAGGGGTTAACACCATAGCACACGCATCCGCAAACTCAGTCCTCCAGCTGTTTTGGGACTACAATTCCCATCATCCCTGACCACTGGTCCTGTTAGCTAGGGATGATGTATGGAAAATTCTGGCTGATGTATGGAAAAGCACATGAACCTAACCTTTGAAGAGTTTGTAAGTAAACCAGTTTTTAACATACCAAATGTGTGGTGTTTTCCTTTGCTGGGAGAAGAGGAAAATATTGAAATGCACTTGGAAGGACATATTTTAAGGGTATGACAGCCTATAGTTCCATGCTTCACTTTGCTGCATATTTTGTGGCTTTAAATCTCCTTGCATTGTCTCACAAAGAGTAGTTGCTCCAAACTTGGATCTTGGCATCCAGGATTTGCACCAACAAATTTAACTTAAGCCTTTTAGATCTAGTCCTAATCTCTGGGACAAAAGAAAACAGGGTGCTCCAGACTTGGGTGATTTATTAGCACCCAATTATTGCTATACTGCTGTAGCTTGTAAATGGAATAGCAACTCTGTTTCCAGACTTCAGGAATCAAAATAACATTCTGTAGCCAGGTGGCCAGTCCCCTTTCCCCCAGTCCCAGATGTTAGGGGTGAGGATATTATATTGGACCATATGAGTGGAAAGGTTTAAAGAATTCCTCTCCCTCGTTTTGCTCCTATTTATTATTGCCTTGCCCCAATTTGGGGTGAGGGGGGAAAAAGGATAAGATATAGTAAATACAACACTATGTGGAAAGGAAGGGTTAAAGTAGACTCTCAGGGAGGACAGATGGACCATAGAGAAGGAAATGCCTAGAGCAATCTATCCAGGTTATAACTGAGCCTGCAAACCATTGTACAATAGTCCATCTAAACCTGAGGAAATTATACAGCTGTTCCTTTGTGTTTTTTAAAAAAGTTGGATTTTCTGAGCTTTGAAGAAAATGAGAGCTGATCAGGGAACAGAATGCTTTGTTCACAACATCATACAGATGCCCTGTAAAAAGTGAGTGAATGAAGTGTGGTTATTCCACAATAAATACCGGTATCCAGAGTGGAAGCAGCCCTGGGCTTTTCCTTATTTTTTCTTTTGGTAACATAGTTGTTATTCATTTTCATCTTTAAACTTTAATATGGTTGCATTGAGATATATGTTTATTTACATAAGAGCATATTACATGCATCAATTACATAAAAAACACTCAGATAAAAGTTTCTGAATGTATTAAAGTTGTGTCAAAGTGTATATACCAAAATTATTACAAATACTACATATATGAACTGATGTAAAGTATAAGTAAAAGGTATTTTGTATCAGTAACAATTATAATTTGTAGTAATCTATAGGAAGGAGGGGAAGAAAATAAAATAAAATATGTATTTCATGCACACCACACTGTGCTCTAAACTATGGATACTGCTCTACCATACGCTTCATTATTTGTATAATCAATAACATCACACCAGACTGCATAAAATTGTCTTGTTTCTTTGGCCTCTTTCTACTTTTAATTTTTGTGTCAGTTTTTCCAGTAACGCTATTTGCCAAATTGCATTATACCATTGGTCCATAGTTAATAATTGTAATGATTTCCATATCTTGGCAATAGCTGTTCTTGCAGCAATTAATAGTTGTGTTGTGAGTTCTTTGTTTGTAATTTGCAATATATTGTGACAAGTTAATTGTGGTGTCCTGGAGACTGTCTGCCTTGCAATCAGAGATATTTCTGTAAATGCATTCTTTCTATAACTTCTATTTTTGGACACTCCCACCACATGTGCTGATATGTCCCTATAGTGGGACATCCTCTCCAACATATGGGAGAACCATTCGGTTTTATATAGGCTAGGCGTCAAGGTATTAAGTACCAGTTGTACAGCATTTCAAGGGCTGTTTCTCTGGATGTTGCCGATATGCATTTTTATGGCACTTTTGTCCACAATCTGTACCCTGCGTCTTCTTCAATTTCTAAACCCAAATTTAGTTCCCACCACCTCAAATTTTGTTGAGGAAAAAGTTGAACCTCTATAATAGATAGATTTATACAAAGATATGAACCATTTTGTGAATATATTTTCTTTCACTGTTATTTTTCCATATTTCGTCACCTGTCTTATGACTTCGCCTTTAACCTATAAATTTGTTGATAAACCATAGATGAGCACACTTTGACTGTGGTTTCCCAGCCAGCCCTGATCCCATCCAATTATATTGCCATCTAAGCCTGTTGAACGTAGTGGACTTTACTTTCAGTTAAATATATACTATACTGGTTTGGGCTTCAGCTATATTTACAATATAATACCTTATGACAATAACATTCAAAACTTGCATTTTTTCAGCCGAATGCAGAAATAGACTATCACAAAACAGGACTGTTCTTTAAACAGTTTTTGCTTCTTTCCCCCCAGAGGTTGACAACAAGAGAAGAGCTTGTGTTAGGTTGTCCATTTTCTGAAAGTGAGAGAGCTTCAAAATCAGAAGACAGCATTAGGAAAGACAAAATCATCCAACAACTGCAATCAGAGGTTCTGTCATATTTTTCTGACGTTTTGGTTATTTGTAACAACTAAACTAGACCATAAACATAACATTTTGCTGTGAAAAATGGATTTGTCCTCTCATTAGAAATGTTGGGACAAAATAATGGCATGGGATCAATGACTATATAATAGTAGTTAATCAACCTGTTGTGGCATTTTATCATGACAATATCCGTGTGTACTAATGGGCCTTCCCAATGCAAAACCCTATAGGTTTAGCTCATTTGTTTACCGGAGGTATATTGAGAGTAATAACAGTACTTAGCTGCATCAGGACTACTTTGCTTTTATCAGTCTTGATTCAGACCTGACAAAACTAGGTTGATGGATTCTTTAGAAATGGATGAATATTGTGTTTGACAGATTTGATATCATTTCATTGATCAGAAGAGCATACGCTGATCACAAGACTGCTCATTAGCAGCAAAGGGCAAACACAACCCATATTCCTTTTATATAACATATGACAAATATTTATTGAATACATAAATTGTTCAGACTGTGGCAGGAATCCACCCAGCACTCATGGGAAAATGTGGCATGATCTCTTAGAGTTATCAAATGAAACTTTAACACATGGCATGATAAAAGTCTGTAATTTTATCAGGATAAGTTACTTGTAGTTTACTGTTGTAACAATTGTTTTCTCAAAATTTATCTTCTGTACTATGAAAATAAATAAAAACAGTATTTTAAAAAAGACTGCTCATTTGCTTAAAGGCTACAATATTAGCAGCGGCAGTAGGCAGAAGATTATTGAATTAAAGTGTATTTTATAGGGCTGGTTTGCATCACATGCTAAGCCAAACTTGATTTTAGTGAGACATGTGAGCATGCTGGTTTTTGGGCAGGAGCTTGCAGCTGTTTTGTTCCCCCCTGATCTTTTTTGCTGCCATGCTGCACTTAAGTAAGCCATAATTTGACTTACCATGTCCAAACCATGGCTTATAGTTAAGCTTTCTCTTCACTAGCCATGAACTGTAACCAAAGTTTAATCTTGTTTACAGTTTGTTGTTACCAAGGAGAGAGTTTAACCATGAGCCCTGGTTCAGACAAAAGCTTGATACAACAATGAAAAGATCAGGGAAGAGAAAAACAGCTGTGAGCTCCTCTCTAGGAGCTTGCATACTTGCACAGTCTCATGAGGATTAGTATGTCATGCAAGACAGTATTATAAGCTTGCTAGTATTACTGGACAGATTTTATTCTAGTATGCACCCACCATGTGAAAGCCATAGATCCTGGATTTTATTTCATGCTTCAGGCTCTATTGTATGTTTTACATGGAACTTGGTTATCATTCAAGATCCTTAGAAACAAAGTTGCTGCATAATTAGGCACGTTCCATGAGCTGCATTATATCTTCTAGCTTTCTAGAATTAAGACGCTGAATGTGACATACATGCATCATAGGCAGATTTTAAAAGCTTCATTGTCATTCAGGTTCCAGGTGAAAAACAACAATTTCCATACAGCTGGAGGCCCTACTGGGCATGATGATGGCAGGTTGCAACATGAGTTCCCCTTGCCCCCATGAGCTTGCCTGTAGTCTTGGAGCCCTTCTGGAAAATGAGGCAAAATGATTTGGTGGGAAGAGCATGGGAGCTGGGTTTGACTTTCATTTCTGGACTAATTATTTTGCAATTTAAATACCACATTATTCCTCTGCTTTATATTAAATCAGTGGTGTGACCCAGCTTTTATAGGCTGGTCACTTTGGCCTTAAAAGTTCTCATTATCTAAGCATTATCAGATTTTCTGAATAAGTCAGCATATCACTTTTGAAGCACACCTAAGGTGTTGGTTCTTGTATGGTTTTTCTGTCTCTCTTAGTCTACCTTACCACTGGGCTGCTTCACACATGACAGTTTTCTTTTACTGATGTAAAAAAACGCTTCTTTATATACTGCTCCTATTGAAATTTGGTTCATTGAGGCACCATCCAAAGGATTTTGACAGCTGATGGGTTTATAAGGAGTCACAGAGTTAGAGATAATCTAAGATGTTTGGGGCCTGAGCTCTCCAGGACGAAAGCTGGAGTTCCAGTTAGTATGTGTGAAATGTATTCCTTTAGTCATGCGTAAGCTCAGCCAGCTATTTCCATGTAGGAGCAAGCAGCTGCAATGTACCTTAACCATGGTCAGCTGCTCAGGAGCCTTTTAGACTTAGAATGTGATAGGAACTAATGTTTTGCTGCCAAGTCTTAAGATGTAGGAGAAGTGAAACAATTTTGTTCTTTTTGACTTACAAGGTTGAAGAACTGCGAACAAAAAATATTGAGTTGGAGAAGTATGTTACAAAAATACTTGATAGTAAGAAAGAAGTAACAACTCAAGTGGGTGACTTGACAAGTAAGAATGAATATCTCTGTAAAGAACTCGCTCATGTAGACAAGTTAGCAGAACAGCTGGAAAAAGAAAAAGAATTTGTATTGGATAGTGCAGACCAGGAAATTGCAGAAGCCAAGGTACTTGAATTAATAATAAAAAATTTACACATGCAATGCTTTTATAGTTTGTTCTTTTTGAGAATTAGTTTCACAATTACGGGAGAAATTTCCATTTCTGGATGCTCATGTAGTTTTAAGAGTTTGCATATGTGAAAGACTGGAATTGTAACCATTTGGAAGAGCTGTAGCTCAGTGAATGAGCATCTTGTTTGGATGCAGAAATTCCCAGATTCAGTCCCCAGCATCAAGTAGAACTGGCAAAGACTTCTGTCTGAAATCATGTAGAGCTGCTATCAGTCAGTGTAACAATACTGAATTGGATGGATCAAAGGTCTATCTCAGAATAAGACAGTTTCCTATGTTCCTCTCAGTGTTCCAATAATTTTAAAACGCACATGCGCGTACACACACACACACAAACACAATGTTGACCAAGTAATGAGATACAGGTGTAGGTCAAAAATATTGTGGACATTTAGCCTTGTAATGGTGTAGAGCAGAGGAGGGTAAACTTGGAGGCACCACTGTTGAAACTGATATCCATCAGCTGGAGTCTGATATAAAGGGCATAGACTTAAAGAATTCTGAGCACATGAATTTGTTTTGAGTAATACTTTTATAGTATCAGAACTCAAATCACAGTCCTTCAACATAAAAATCCACTCCTGGTTATCCTAAGCTTTCTTCATTCCAACTGGATAATTTAGGAGGGATTCATTGTGTTGCTGCTATGTTAAACAATCAGGAGTCAAAAATCCTTACCAATCTATAGCGTGTTCGAAAGTACTACACCTATTGGATAATGTAATGCAGTAGGTGTCTGGTTACTTTTTGAACATCCTGTGTTCAAATCACCCAGATTTATCAGTAGATCCTGATCTACCTTGTGCCCAGCTCTGAGCTGCCCTCCCTGCCCCAAAGAGAGGTGCCTCCTCACACTGCCCCAAAGGAGCCTGGGAAGAGGATGCCCCCAGCCTTAGTGGCCCAATGGAGACTGGCCAAAGGTGAGCATGAGGCCAGCACCTTACCTTGGGAGGCAGCAGCAGCAGCAGGTGCTGCCGGGCCTGCATGGTGGAAAGGCTCCCCTTCAGCACTGGGCACTCAGCTCCCAGGCATGCCTTGCACACAGGAAGCACAAGAAAGGCCAGCACAGCGCCTGCCTGCCTGCCTGGCCTCCCTCACCCACTTACATGCTTACTCTGACAACCAGCACTCCCTGGCCAGCTCCAGAGGCACCATTTGCCTGCAGAGCTTGTAGCCAGGGCTGCTACAACAAACAGCTAACTAAGCCTTTGGGAGGCAGAGACGCAAGAGGGCATCAGAGGAGGGAGGGAAGGAAAGAGAGACAGAGGCCAGTGTTGCCTGCAGCACCCCTAAGCGCCACAGCACATTGGTTGAAAACCACTCTGCTAACTGACTGGCACCTCAGCTCTACTGGGTTTGTCATTTTCAGCTCATCTTAAATGAGTTATCCAAATGCATGATTAGTCAGTGAAAAATATTTGCCAAATGCTCTATTTTCAGTTGTCTAACTAATCATATTTTTATTTCTTTTCATTTTAGTCTCAGATTAAATGCCAACAAAATACTATACGGAAATTGGAACATAAAATCAGCGCCCTTAGCTCTGTAAGTTACATATCTTTATTTTTGCTGATAAAACCTCATATCATATGTACATTGCAAAAAACATTTGCACAGATTAGTACAACTGATACGTCTTTTATAAGATATTTAAATGCATAATTGTAGTGTTAAGAATACATAATATTCAAAATGCCCCTTATTCTGCATTTTATGTCTTTTCAGTGAGATTTCTCTTTCTTCAGCATTAACAGTGGTTTGACCTCCCTGCATGTCTGTAACACAGAAAGCAATGGGCACAATTCTTTCATATTCAGCTTGCATCTCTGTGTACCTGGGAAGACATTGGGGATGCAAGCTGAACATGGTATTTACTGCACCCTTTCCTAACAACCCTTAGGTGTGCGGAGTCGGTGGGCTGGCTTAATTATTACCTAAAGACATACTCTCTTCAAGTACAGAAATTCAAGGCGTAATCTGTTTATAAGGAAACCTTTTTCCTAGAGCCTCTTTCCTTAGAAATCTCATCTACCTGTCAGAATGGTTTGGGTGTGCCGTTTCACACTTACCTTCTTTTCACTTACAGAGTGTACTATGTTCACCTGCACCCAAGCCAGGAAGCTCTGTGTTGTTGTTTTTCTGTCTAGCAGAAAGATTGGCAAAAGATCCCTATTTTTCATCCATACCCTGCTTTATAAAGGACAAAGAAGGAAAGAGGAGGCAGGTGGCGAAACCAGTCTTCTTCTCTCACTTAAGTTGTCAGCTATGACATTTGTTCAGTGGTGCACGTAGGCATTCATAGCCACATGCATGCTAGGTTCTCCCACTCTTCCCAGCCTCTATTGTGAGATCTGCTTCATACAACCAACTCTGTTAGTCTCTAGACAGAAACAGCTTTAATGATTTTATAATATGGTAAATTCAGAAAATCTGAAACTTAAAAAATCTTGTTTCTGTAGAAATGTGTAAATATTTGTCTTAGTTGGAAAAGTATGTTTATAGTAATAATTGTTTTCGCTTTGGCACTTAAAAGCCTTCCTCAAACATTGAAATATCACAGGAGAGGCGTCCCTCAAGGCTTGACAATACTACCAAGTCAGCAGAAGAAGACAGATATCAGTTGAAGAAAATGCTTCGAAATACGTCAAGTCCTAGGCGCAGCTCCTCTCATTCTGTTTCAAAGGAGCTTTCCCCCATCCGGGTATATTTTTCAACTTTCATAAAGTATAGATTTGTGCATTTTTTCAGCTGATTTTGATTACTTGACATTATTAATATGCTAGCAAGGGACTGAAGTAAATTAATCAGGCTACCTAAATCCTGTTGAAGTCAGTAAGACTCTCAAAAAGCATTTCAGAATAGTTAATTGTGCACAGATTAATATGAACTGAACAGACAGAATGATATCCAATGGTTAGTCATACTCAAAGTAGATTAATTGAATTCAGTAGACTTAAAGTCTCTGATTAAGACTTAGTTGGATATTGCCCACTATCTCCTGAATAATTTAAAACTGAATAATCCAATCAAATTCTAAAGTTTGTGACATGGATGTTATTGATTGATTGATAAATCAAAAGCAGTAGAAAAGGAAATCAACTTCTCTTCATTAACTGTTTAGGGATGTAAATCTGATCCAGAATTTCAGCAAATGTTGAGAGACCGTGATGAATATAAGACAATGCTGGAAAGATATGAACGTCACATGGCAGAAGTTCAAGGCAACATCAAGGTTCTCACAGCAGAAAGAGACAAAGTTATTCAACTTTATGATCAGGTAATCTTTACAGGCATGTGGAATATTCTGGTAGGAACAATTTCTGACAAAATATAAAATCTTAAGGTATTTGGGTGCTGTTTACCTTAAGATTGTCTTAGGAGGCCTTGTTGAAGGTTTGTCGTCCTCTGGATTTATGATGTAAAGGTAAAGGGACCCCTGACCATTAGGTCCAGTCGTGGCTGACTCTGGGGTTGCGGCACTCATCTTGCTTTATTGGTTGAGGGAGCCGGCGTACAGCTTTCGGGTCATGTGGCCAGCATGACTAAGCTGCTTCTGGCAAACCAGAGCAGCACACGGAAATGCCGTTTACCTTCCCGCCGGAACGGTACCTGTTTATCTACTTGCACTTTGACGTGCTTTCGAACTGCTAGGTTGGCAGGAGCAGGGACCGAGCAACGGGAGCTCACCCTGTTGCGGGGATTCAAACCGCCAACCTTCTGATTGGCAAGTCCTAGGCTCAGTGGTTTAACCCATAGTGCCACCTGCATCCCGATTTATGATGTGCAAGTACTTAAAATGTGGGCTCCTACTTTTCGCACCTAGACTCTGGAATTTCTCTTTCTGGAGGGATATAGGGCTGCCTCATTGTAGACTTAAACAGTTTGTTAAAATATTTTCGTTTTTCTAGGCTTCCTGCACTTAGGTTTCAATTTATTTTCTGTTTTGTTTGTATAGCCTGCATTAAAAAATACTGATTTTATATGCAGAGAGATATATTATTTGGATTTATAAAATATTTTCCTCTTTTCTTTTTTATACTGTTATAATTTATTATTGTATCCTGCTTGTACATTTACATTGGGGAGAAAAGTTTTGAAATTTTGAAGATAATGAATGAATGAATGAATGAATGGATAGATGTTATCTCTTCTTTTGGGACCCATCATGGAAAGTAATGTGAGCAGCAGCTAGTGGGAAGGGGTGGTGCCACAGACCTGACGTAGTAGCACTGCTGCTGCCATGTAGCAGGATGAGGTGGAGTAGGGTGGTAGTGAGGACAGGGTGGTTCAAATATAGTGGCAGGTATGTTAAATTGGTTCTGCTGGTGTGCCTAAACCACCATAACTGAATTGCTACTTTGCCTTACCTCTTCACCATCCTGATACACAGCAGTAATCCTGCTGCCAGGACAGGTCCACGGTGACACTCTTTCCTGCTGGCTGCTCCTATACAAACTATTAAGAACATAGAAAGAACTTTGATGAATTAGATCAAGGATTGATTTATTCCAGGATCACGTTTCCACAGTGCCAGCCTGATGCCTCTGGATAGCTCCCAACCTAAGCAGGTTTTAATAACAACATGCCGTCTCTGTTGCTTGGGCTATTTGTGGATGTGACATTATGGGTTGTATTCACTTTGTATATATCTGCTGAAGTAAGTTGGTTCCAGTTTTGTCTTTGGTAGGCTAGTTACAATTTAAGCTGTCTTGAATTGGACAAATCTGCATCTGAGTTTTAATTTTGAATAATAGGCCCAGGAAGAAATAAGTCAACTGCGAAAAGAAGCTATGAAAGTCCCGAAAGCATCCAAAACTGCGATGACTGCACAGGCTGTTTTGAGGCGTGTGGAAACAGAAAGGGATGCAGCTATTTCTGATTTCCGAAGGATGTCCACTGAACGAGATAGCTTGAGAGAGAGGTTAAAGGTTTGACTTTTTATCCAAATTCATTTGTGCAACATCTGTTCAACATAAGACAATTGCCAAAACTGTTGTGTGGTTAATCTAATAGATTAAATTTTATTATACTAAGTGTATTTGATTTATGTTTTTGTTTGATACAGATTGCTCAAGAGACTGCATTTAATGAAAAAGCTCACCTGGAACAGAGAGTTGAGGAACTGGAGTTAAATGTTCAGAGTGTAAGGGAAAATGTTTCCTTATTTTAAAGATATGGTAGATATAACGTTAAACAAGTGGTTAGAAGCTTGTAAGGACAGAGACATTGAAAAGATACATTGAATGATTTTTTGTATAAATATACAACTCTTACTACATTATTCAAGAAACATGCAATTATTTGTATGCATTAATTCTTATGTTTTTATTTAGTAATCTATACAGAGCTTTATTTGTTTGCTTATTTATTTATATCTCGCCTTTCTCCCAGTACAGGAGTCAGATCCAAGGTGGCTCACAACAAGCATTAAATACAGATACAGCTAAAAAGCACACCAAACAGTTATAAGTATAAATAAATAAGGCCATATTAAAAACAACACTGAATTAAAACAACTTAACCATTTAAAAACCCAACAACAAGAGGAGGAGAAAATATGCAATTCATACCATTAAATGACCCTGCCACAATAGTGGCCAATCTAAACAAAAAAAGCCTGCCTGCCTGCCAGCAAAAGGAGAGAGAGAGCCAACCTAACCTCCCATGGACTAGAGTTCCACAATATGAGAGCAGCCACCAAAAAGGCCCTCTCCCATGTCCGCACCAAATGTGCCTGTGAGGGTGGCAAATGGAGAGAAAGGTGTCCCCTGAAGATTTCAAAACCTGGTCAGGCTTATCTAGGGAGATAGCCTGGACCCAAGGTGTATAGGGCTTTATAGCTCATGACCAACATTTCAGTTGTGCCCAGAAACAGGCCAGTAGCCAGTGGGCTTATTGTAACAAAGAGTTTCAATTCTCACTGTAACCTGTAACCTTTATTAAAGGGAAATATATTCTTAAGGAATTAGTCCTAGAAACTGTAGTATATAAGATACAATCTTACTGGAAAAGAAAATAGGAGACTGATTTGCTCTCCATTCAGGGTTATCTCCAGGGTTTTGTGTGCTTTGGCAACAGAGCATCAATACTCCCAATTTGTCCATTAAAGAACTGCCTATTTTTCAGCTAATCAGGTCCTTGCTCTGCTATGCATCGTGTTACATTTGGCTGTCTTGATTAAGATAATGCAATCAGCTGAGGTGGACAAGGTGCTGGTGGCAATGCATCTGACCACATGCGCCCTTGAGCTCTGTTCCTCCTGGCTTATTAAATCTAGCAGAGGGAGACTGACTGGTTGGGTCCCTAGTGTGGTTAATGCTTCGCTGCATTGGAGGGGGGCTCTGCTGCATCTTCCAAGTCTTCTGTCTGGCTTGGCAGTCTATAGCACATCCCCACAGTAAGGTCACTGTTGTTTCTTTCTCTTACAATCTTTACCCATATACTCTCAGTCTGCTTTCCATGCTCCAAGTCATGGATTTCTTCACAGAAATATAATGCTACTCCTCCTCCCTTTCTGCTTGGTCTATTCCTTTAAAACAGGTTATACCCCCTCAGTTTCTACATTCCAGTCATGGGTCTCATCCCACCAGGTTTCAATAATGCCTACCAGGTCATACTTGCATTCCTGAATTAAAAGCTCCAATTCATCTTGCTTGTCTCCCATACTCTGTGCATTTGTGTGGAGACAACTTCTTTGGAGGCTTTTAAGCAGGGGTTGGATGGTCATCGGTCATGGATGCTTTAGCTGAGATTCCTGCATTGCAGGGGGTTGGGCTAGATGACCTTTGGGTTCATTCCAACTCTACAATTCTATAATTCTATAAAAAGTCAGAAAAGGCAACACAAATAATTCCTAAGTAAAAGTGTATGTTAATTGGAGCAGTTGGATGTTATATAAAGTAATAATTCCTTGTCACTTTAATGTCTCAGCTTGACAATGAGCGATTAGATCAAACATCAAAGATGGCTTTAATGAAGGAGACAATCGAGTCTCTAGAAATGGAGATGAAAATATTGGCAAAAAGAGCAGTAGATTTTGAAAGTGAGCTAAGCAGGCAAAAAGCAACTAATGCTTCACTGAGGTAACTGAAATATGTGTTGAATCAAATATTTTATGTTTCTAAGTGTGTCTGTTGACTGGCTATAATTTTAACTTTTTGAGATACGAAGTAGGCTTATTAATGGGATATAAATAATAATGTAGTTTAAAAGGATGGTGATATACTGTATGTTCTACTTTGGCAATAGCTGCTCTTTTAGTTAAGTTGTCTTATTTCATACACTAATTCTAAATTACCTGATACCTGATTTGCACTGACTTCTGTTTGAAGAGTTCAGTAGCTTATGCTTAGCTTTTATTAACTGTTAATTACGTGTTCACAAAATTCCCTTGCTCCATGGTCACTAGCTATTAATTAGTTGCCATTTATAATGAGATCCCTTTTAGTGTTAGTGCAAAGTTTGTGTGAAAAGACCAATGTAAATTGCCCTTTGTTTATTTTTAGCATTATGAATGAAAAAATGGAGCATAACATTGCAGAGGCCCAACGACAACTCTCAAAGAAAAAATATGAATTACAGCTCATTCAAGATAAAATTACGTGTCTAGATGAAAAAAATGGTAAGTTTCAAATGCTAATCTTTGAGTAATTTTTAAAATACATTTTATACAGAATTATTTATTGGACCATTGCAATGTGATTTTATGTGGGGCTACCCTTGAGGCTGGTGCCGAATTATGCAGCCTGGTTATCAGGTGCTGGCTATTGACAAAATATAACACCTATATTGTGAGAGTTGCATTTGGCTATCAGTATGCTACCAAACTATCTTCAAGGTCTTACTATTAAGTATATTAAGCCTAAACACCAGCAGCTTAAAATCTTACCTTACGCCTTATACCCCTGCCTGACTTTTGCAACCTGCCTCTGAGAAATGTCTGATGGTGCCTGAAACTCTACCTAGTAAAATCAAGTTGTTTGTAATTAGCTGCAAGTGCCAAATTAAGACTTGGTTATTTCAGCAAGCCTTTTTATGCAAACAATTTCCTGTTTTTATAACCTTGTTGAGTGACTCATATTTGTAATCCTGCATTTCTGTATCTTGAATGTATTCTGCTTGATTTCATTTATGTCATTTTAGTTTTAATTGTGATTCTGCAGACCACATTTTTATGAGTTTTGGGCATAGAAATGAATTATTAATAACAACGACTGGGGCCAGAGACTGGCAAGTATACAAGTGTCACCCACTAATCCATATGGAGGATCTTTTACATCTATTTTGTGCCAAGTTTCTGCCTAAGTTCTGTGATTTATTTAGTCAGGAATACTTGTTTCTATGACTTTAGTACCAGTGAATATGTACTTTTTTATATAGGAGGTAGCTGATAATAAATAATATTTAAATTTTAAATCCATGATTTAAATTTTCTGCTTTGCTCGCCAAGGTCATGATTGAAATCTCCTTGATCCAAGCACTTTATATTACTATAAAACAGTAACAAAAAGTTCATCCCACAAGCCTTAGGCACAGAGAGGTGTACTTTTCATAGAGCAGGGGTAGCCAATGAGGTGTCCTCCATATGATTTTGGACTACAATTTCCATATGCCATGGTCATCATGGCAGTGGTCAGGAATGATGGAAATTGTAGTCTTACAAAAACTGGAACATACCTCATTGGCTACCCACAGCCTGTGTCATTACAAGAATGTGACGCAAAGTATAGAGCCCCAAAATGCTGCTACAGAAAAGTTCCATTTTCTTGGCTACTTGGGCCAAGTTTGACAATTAAGGACACATCCATGTGATGGTGTTTGTGCTGTATTTATATAAAGTTATTTAGAAGCATTTGAAAATTCTTGGAAAACATGGCAATAATAGTGCTACAGATGTATAGTGGATTTATATTCTGTGTTATATTCTGTGGCAAGTGGTGAGTAACTAGACCAGTTTCCCCCATTGTTCACTTCCTCCCCAGGCCTGGGCATGAGAGGTGAGGGAGGTTCAGTGCTATCATTGTGGATAGAATGAGCACGATAGATTTTTTAAAAATCGCACTATATGTGTTAAGTAACTTAGCAATGTCAGATTGTCTTGTTATTAACTCTTCTTTTTGTGAATGGTTACTGTTACTAAGGAAATTGTGACTGTCCATTGTATTTCATTTTCTTCTGACCTCAGTGTTTCCAGTTTCTCCCTGCCTCCCCGCCCCCAATCATGTACATCCACCAACAATTCAGGATAAAATGAAGTGGACTGTACTCCACAAAATCTTATGCTGCAATAAATCGTTGGCCTTTAAGATGTCACAAGACTGTTCATTGTTTTTTTCTGCAAGACTATCTTAGCTAAGTTTGCAGTTTGGCCAGAATGTACGCTGAGGGGAACTTGTACATGGTTGCACATGCATAATAAATATTTGTATGCTCATCAGAGTTGTTGCTTGATCACAACCTATTTACCAAAGGTTATTTTAAATTGCTAAAATAATGAAATTCTATTATAATATTTCCAGAAAAGCTTTCAAAACAAAATCTTGTCCAACAAGAAGATATTTGTACACTCAATGACACAATAACTGAACTAGATACAGAAAAGGATTCTTTACATGAGCTTCTGGAAGAGAAAGCAGATAAAGTTGCCTCCCTTGAAGAAAGCTTGGCCCTTAAAGTAAGTTTTGATATATAACAGATATATAAATGTTTAGATATTTAAGATTCATCACATTTAGAATTTTTTTGTGCTTATGCAAGAAGAAGACTTCATATTTGGCATGTAGCTTTTGAAAGTACACATTACAGGCATATTGGACAAAGTAAATGGTACAAGTATGAGTTGTGCTAGTGATGAGAAATTGACATTTCTGTGGATTATTTTTGAGTAATTCTGTTTTAATATGCAAATACGTGGATTAGTAGGGTTAAAACATTCTGCTTATTAAAATTGGTGCTTTTTAGATTTAGTTTAAACATACACCTTCCAATACTAATAATAATATGATTATGACTTTTAAGTACAGTTTTAAATATAGAATGAGGAACTTTACTACCATTTAGAAAACTTAAAATGCTATAAATTTTTTGCAAATAACTTTCTATCCCTGTACATGCTGTTTGTAGGTCTTGCAGCCACAGACTCTGTAACTACTATGTTGTATATGTTGAGATTCTGATAGCAACTTTAGGGGGCATTTTGACTGAGGAAACCATGTCACGTGAAAGGGTTAATCCCACCCCCTTCCAGCACCACAGTTCAGAGATTTCTGAGACTTTTGCTGCAAAGTTTGCCTGTGCCATGATATTAAATCTCTACCATATTTATTTTGCTGTTCTGGCAGCCTAAAATTGCAATCAAATGCATGTCTACTTAGAACTAAGCCCCACTGAGCTCAATGAGGTTTATTCCCAACCAAGTATGTATAGGATTGTAGTAAAAACGTTAAAAACCTGTGGAGTGCAAGCTTACTCAGAAGTAAATTCTGCTCTGTTCATTGGAGTTTACTCTCATATAAGGATGATTAGAATTGCAACCTTAATCTTATAAAATATTACTGAACAAAAGAAACCGACATGAAAAAACAAACTATTTCCTGTTTTGTTCATATCTTTTTTACTGAGGAAAAATACATTTTTATTTATTTTCAAGGAAAAGACCATTTCAGATTTGAAGTGCCTACTTTCTGATATGGAGAAATCAACAAAGTAAGACGTAAACTCTGGATTTCGTTCTTTCTTTTAAAGTTATTTTTACTTAACTTGAACTATTCTGTTAGAATTAACATATATAAACTAATCTATTCTGTATTTATAACTTGTAATATTAGACTTAAGGGACGTGGGTGGCGCTGTGGGTTAAACCACAGAGCCTAGGACTTGCTGATCAGAAGGTTGGCGGTTCAAATGCCCGCGACGGGGTGCGCTCCCGTTTCTCAGTCCCTGCTCCTGCCAACCTAGCAGTTCGAAAGCACATCATAGTGCAAGTAGATAAATAGGTACTGCTCCGGCGGGAAGGTAAATGGCATTTCCGTACGCTGCTCTGGTTCTCCAGAAGCTCCTTAGTCATGCTGGCCACATGACCCGGAAGCTGTACGCCGGCTCCCTCGGCCAATAAAGCGAGATGAGCACCGCAACCCCAGAGTCGGTCACGACTGGACCTAATGGTCAGGTGACCTTTTACCTTTACCTTAATATTAGACTTATTCAATATTTTTAAAATGTTTTAATAAATAAACATAATTATTGGTATACTTCTATCTAAAAATATTTGATGAAGGGACATTTTCATGCCCTTGTTTTGCAATAACAATTTTATAATTTACTGCCCAGGCATTCTACTGAAGCACTCTGCAGGTGTGAACAGGATATTACCAAACTACATCAACTTTTGGATGAATCTAATAATGAACTTGCTCAGACGAGTGAAGAGAAAGAAGGATTAATTCGGGAGAATGATAATCTACAAAAACAGCTTTATGGCTTTAAGGAGGAGAATCAGGTATATGTTGGCAGATTTGAATACAACTCATATTTACCTTTCCACTATTAACCAGGAACTGTTTTGTAACTAACTGGGGAGGACAGGAGTGCCTGTTGTGCTCTGGTCCATGGGGTCACAAAGCAACTAAACAACAACAGGAAGGATATTGTTCCAATCTCTGAGCAGTGCAAGATTACAGGGAGTTCCAGGGTTTGTGTTTCCTTTCGGAAAATTAGGCACAGGTGTCTTTATGATACATGGTTTGTTTACAGATATATACAACCTGAGCCTAAGATGGAGGGGTTCCCAGCATCACTCTGGGTCTTGCTTCCTCCACACAGCACAGCACAGCTCTGGATTCAAACGAGCATCAGCCATGATGCTCTCTGCCTCTGTCTCCAGCTCACTGCTTTAGTACCACATTACATCACAGCCCTAACTCTAACCTCTAAGTTTTTAGCCCACACTTCTTCTTGCTTTAGCTATTGAGCAGGGGTCACAACCATTTGTCATTCCACACAGAGACCCTATGATCCTCTATAGCCTTCGAATCCCCACGACGGGGTGAGCTCCCATTGCTCGGTCCCAGCTCCTGCCAACCTAGCAGCTCGAAAGCACATCAAAGTGCAAGTCAATAAATAGGTACCACTCCAGTGGGAAGGTAAACGATGTTTCCATGCGCTGCTCTGGTTTGCCAGAAGTGGCTTAGTCATGCTGGCCACATGACCTGGAAAAACTGCCTGCGGACAAACGTCAGATCCCTTGGCCAGTAAAGTGAGATGAGTGCCACAACCCCAGAGTCGGTCACGACTGGACCTAATGGTCAGGGGTCCTTTACCTTTCTTTTAGTCTTCTTAATAGCCTATTACCCCAGGTGATTTCCTCACAAGGAAGTTAGCCTAGCTTAATTAGCCCTTAGCATTTCACTTAATTTAAGTATTAGCAGAAACTAGCAGGCAGTTTAATTTACAGGATCTGGCTTAATACACAGTGGCTTAATACACACAGGTCTTGCACTCAGTTTTAACACTCCAAAACATTGATTAAATTCTAACACCTAGACCCTGGAATTTAGGGTGCCTAGTATCCACAAACTCATAACACTATGTTCTCTGGAGGTGGTTAACACGTCATCATATGGGTTATGCTGCTCTGTTGCTGCTGAAGACAGGAAACACAGACTGGTCTTTATCTGTTGGTCACACCCCCATCATCTCAGTCAGTTTCTTGTCTTCTCCACGGACAGGTATGTGTGTGTGTGTGTGTGTGTGTGTGTGTATTAATGTGTAGGACCAGTCCACCCATGAGCAAGGTGCTCAGGTGGCAGGTGCCTGCCTCACAGAGCAGTAGATCCCAATGTAGAGTTTTATTCCCCCCTTGTTGCTGACATGGACCTTCACTCACCTCTTCTTCCCTGCCAGGGAGGAGGGCATCATTTTGTGGTTCCCCTCAGATGCCAAAATATCTTGGGCCAGCCCTGTGTGCACACATGTGTGTTGCTTCAGGCTTGTTCTGCTAACTCTAAATTTTATTTAGAATTTTGTTCATCTTGAAGGTTTGCATTTCTCTTTTATATATAGGAATGCATCTTGTAACACTTTACGACACCTAATCCTACTTATAAATTTTGTCAAACCTGAAAAGAGTATGAAATGCTTGCCTAAAACAATGTTTCACATTTCTTTGACAGATTCTGCATCACAAACTCAGTGAATGTCAGAATGAACTTGATAATCTGAAGGCGAAAACTGAAGATTGGCATACAGATATTTCCAGACTGAAGAGCATGCTGAAATCTAAAGTAAATGTATATTTTGAAAAGCTGCAAGTTTTCTAAATGTCTAATAGGGTGCTTCCTGTCAAGGAGCATATTCCTATACATTCTAATGATTTGAAAGGTTTTACTGAGCCTTCAGAGAGTGCTGTGCAAAATGCTGCAGGAGAGCTGACAGCTTCATTGGGTCAATTCACAGTGACACTTGTAAAGCATTCTGCAAGATAGTACGGTAATTTGCAAGGGGATTACCAAGACCCTTGCAAAGCTCTATACAAAATACTATGTTGCTGAGCAATTTGCAAGGGTCTTGTGAAAGGCCCTGCAAAGCACTCCTCCTGAGGCAAAAAAGGGTTGTTTGATGTCATTGTGACATCAGGGTATTGTTAGGTCGGCTACCCCAACCAGATGTCAAATTTTGCCCACAAGGGGTGGGGGAGATGACAGTCTTGACCATTGAACCAGATCCCATTCACCACCCTTGCTCTAAGAAATGATTCCACTCAGCCAGTACTGGGAAACTGCATTACTTTTATAGTCTCTGTTCCATGGATTGCAAAAGCTTTGCAGCCAAACTAGCTTTTGATTAAGATCTCAAATAGGTCAAAAGTTTGTAGAAGGAAGGAGAAGCTTTCCATCAGAATTAATCTGTACTGACACATGTGCAAAAGGCAAAAAGAATTTGATAATCCCAGTAGAAGAAGGCATGCAAGGTCAATGCAGATCTGAGCTGCCTTAGTGTTATTTAAGGCCTCAATTCAAAATGCATTGCATGCTGAAAAATGCTTGCATGCAGTTACAAAATTCATGAGACTATTTTTTGTATTTTTACTAAACACAAAAGTTTACTGAGGCATTTCCTCGTCTGCTTTGATTTTCTTGCAGCAGATCTTACAGAGGAAGGAGCTGCAATGGTATACTTGGAACAACATCAGAGCCCTTCCCCTTCCCCACTATACAGCTGGTGCTTGCCCATCTGTCTTGTTCCCTTCCCCCCTGCAGCCCATGAAAACTTTACTACTGTGGTATGAGCGGCAAGAGTGGGAGGAGACATTCTCCCCAAATTGGTCATGGGCATGTTGCACAAGTTGAGTGGTACCTGCATGGCAGGTCCATCTTTCTACAGTGAAGTTCAGATGTCCACTACAGTGGTGCCCCGCAAGACGAATGCCTTGCAAGACGGAAAACCCGCTAGACGAAAGGGTTTTCCGTTTTTGAGTTGCTTCGCAAGACGAATTTCCCTATGGGCTTGCTTCACAAGACGAAAACGTCTTGCAAGTCTCGCCATTTCCCCCCCCCGCTTCCCCCCCCCTTTTCAAAGCCGCTAAGCCACTAATAGCCTTTTAGCAGCTTAGCCGCTAATCCTTTAATAGCCGCTAAACTGCTAAATCGCTAATAACACTAATCCTCTTACCCACTAATGGGGTTGCTTTGCAAGACGAAAAAAACCGCTAGACGAAGAGAATCGCGGAACGGATTCTTTTCGTCTTGTGAGGCACCACTGTAGTCCTGCAAACCCACCATACAACTGGACTGAAGTGAATATAGTTTACTAAGGGCCAGTTCACTTTTTTTTCATCCATTTATATTGTAAAGTGTAGCAGTAGAGAGCCATGTGCTCTCTTTCCAATTGTCTAACAATATGGGGTGTACGCAACCAGTTCCCATGACCTTTCACTCAAAAAAGTTGTGGAAGGATTGCAGCATTCAGGTGATTATATATACAAATGATAGAATATATGCACTGTAACACAGGTTGTGTTTTTCTATGCTCTAGGACAGGGGTAGCCAATGTGGTGCCCTCCAGATGTTTTTGACTAGAACTCCCATGATCACTGGGTGTTACCTATGCTGTTGGGAGTTGTAGTCCAAAACATCTGTTGGGCACCACCATGGCTCCTGCTCTGTGATTATGCAAGCTAATTTTCTGTCCCACTATGCATGGCATATGTAAACTGGCCTCAAATTTAAAAATGAAACCAAATTTTGAATTTCAGGAAAAGGAGAATCAAGAGCTTTTGGATAACTACCACAGGGCCAATGAGCAAGCAGAAAAGTGGGAATCCAAGTTCCAACAAATGGAAGCAAACTGTAGCTCTGTCCAACTGGAGCTCCTCAGTGCAGAATCTGAGAGCCGCAGACTAAAAGAACGAACAGAGGCTCTTGAAACAGAGATTGGGCACGTAAGTTGGAAAAGCCTCAGCAATCCATTTTTACAATTTCATTTTCATTTAATAGCTGGGCAGTAGAGCTTTTTCATTTCCATTCAGCACTTTCACCCTTGTTCTTCATCTCCATTGGGAGTGTTAAGGGATAAAGTTTATTGTGAGACATATGTCTCAGTTATGTGGGCTACAACAGGTACTTTCAGAAAGCACATTTGTTGTAAAGGGAAGTGGTCTTCCACTCACCATCATTCACTGACCCTATTTGCACACCATGCTAAACCAAATCATGGCTTAGTGTGACCAAACAAATGTGGGTTCCCAGAGAGATCACAGCCACTTTGCTTCTCCTCCAGTTCTGCTTCCACCATATTGCTTTAAGCTAAACCACAGATCACCAGCCCAGGACCCAGTTGATGGCAATAACTACCATTGACCTTACTTAGATTGCCGCACATTCTGGCCTTTTTGAGACTGTTTGGGATAAGTATGTGGTGTGAGCCCTTGTTTTTCTGTAAATGTATGAATTCTAGACTTTTACCAAGCTGAGAGTTCAGTATTCTAGGTACCATTATGTATCCTAAGATGGTTCCTGTACACATTGTGGTTGGTAAGAAATAATATGTATGCTTTTGTTTTCTAAAGTTAATAATTCTATCTTCTCCCCATCCCCAGCTCTGAAATCTGATTTTGCAGCCAAAAATCAAAATTTTGAAGATTAGACACTTTTATTTTAATCCAGATGGCCTCTCAAGATACCCAGCAGTCTTTATTTAGAACAAAAATTGTTATTTCAGTGCAGATCTTACTTACTAGTGCAGATTCTTCAGTGTTCACATCGTCTTCTGTCTTACAAAGGCTTCCTTGGACATGTACAAGGAAGAACAACTTTCTGCATTGAAAGTTCATATACCAATATTGTGCTTTCTGCAAACAACTGAATCTACATGGAACTCTGGATCAGTCTGCCTAAGCCATAGCCCTTAACAGTGTATATAAATAATTGATATAAATGAAATGTAGCTGCATCTAGTGTTTACTGGTTTGTTCACAAGATATTTATTTTACATTCTGCTTACAGTTAACATTTTTATTTTAAATTCACTGCAGAAACTCTTAGAAGTTATGTATTAGAAAAAGATAAGGTACAATTGTTTAACTAAAAGTGTAATTGATCTTCCCTAAAGTTATTAGGCATTGTTCTGGTACATTTCTATCAAAATGTTAATTGTCTTCATCTACACATGCTTTCACAGCAATTAGCAGCAGAAAAAGCCCACAAGTCACAGATTTCTACATTAGGTAAGTCTCTTTTGAAAATGGAGGAGGACCTCCATGACGTGCAACTGGAGAAAGTTTCTGTACTGTCAGAGTTGGCATCTACTCGGGAACTCTGCATAAAATTGGACACTAGCAAAGAGTTATTAGCCCGGCAACTAAGCAACACAACACAGGAAATAGAACGGGTAAGTATAATCTAATCTACACATTGTTTAGAGCAAAGGCAGAAAACCTAAGTTGGAATGCCTTTTAATATCATCTTGAATGAAATTCTCACAATACAGCAACCTTTATGTTATGTACTTTTGCTTAAATACAAACATAAGAAGAGCCCTGCTGGATTACACCAAAGGCCCTTCTGGTACTGCATCCTGTTCTCCCAGTGGCCAAACTAGAAGCCTATGAAAAGCCCCTAAGCAGGACCTGAGTGCAACAGCTCTTTCCCCACTTAAGAATCCCAGCAACTGGCATTCAGAGGCATATTGCCTCCAATAGCGGTGGAAGACTATAGGAGCCATTGATTGTCTTATCCGCCAATCTAATCCTCTTTTAAAGTGATCCAAATTTGTGGCCATCATAGTTTAACTGTGAAGTAAGTCTAATAATAACAATAATTAATTGTATTATTTATATCCCTGCCCATCTGGCTGGGTTTCTCCAGCCACTCTGGGCGGCTTCCAGCACATACTGTATTAAAACATAAAACGTCAAACATTAAAAACTTCCTGATACAAGGCTTCCTTCAGATATCTTCTAAAAGTTGTGTAGTTCTTTAATCTCCTTGACATCTGATGGGAGGATATTTCACAGGGAGAGCACCGCTGCTGAGAAAGCCCTCCACCTTGTGGGGTCCCCAGTTCCAGGGCTTCCTGATTTTATATGTTTTCGTGTATACATGTACAGTGGTACCTCGGGTTAAGTACTTAATTCGTTTTGGAGGTCCGTTCTTAACCTGAAACTGTTCTTAACCTGAAGCACCATTTTAGCTAATGGGGCCTCCCGCTGCCGTGGCGCCGCAAGAGCACGATTTCTGTTCTCATCCTGAAGCAAAGTTCTTAACCCGAGATACTATTTCTGGGTTAGCGGAGTCTGTAACCTGAAACATCTGTAATGTGAAGCGTATGTAACCCAAGGTACCACTGTACTGTAGACTGCTGTAACTGAACCTTAGCATAAGATGCAAGTTACCTGTATATCAACATCAACAGTGTTCTCCTTTGTCTATTTTTGGTGCATATGATGGAACCTCTCTACATAATCTCACAAGACTTCAATAACTGAGTAAAAAAGGGGTTGGGGTGAGCTGTGAGTAGGTGGGCCAGGTGTAAAGAGGGTGGATTTGGTCAGGTGTAAAGGGAGAAGGATTAGAGATGCGGGTGGTGCTGTGGGTAAAAGCCTCAGTGCCTAGGGCTTGCCGATCGAAAGGTCGGCGGTTCGAATCCCCGCGGCGGGGTGCGCTCCCGCTGCTCGGTCCAGCGCCTGCCAACCTAGCAGTTCGAAAGCACCCCGGGTGCAAGTAGATAAATAGGGACCAGCGGGAAGGTAAACGCCGTTCCGTGTGCTGCGCTGGCTCGCCAGATGCAGCTTTGTCACGCTGGCCACGTGACCCGGAAGTGTCTGCGGACAGCGCTGGCCCCCGGCCTCTTGAGTGAGATGGGCACACAACCCCAGAGTCTGTCAAGACTGGCCCGTACGGGCAGGGGTACCTTTACCTTTAAAGGGAGAAGGCATTGGATAAGTTGGGGGGGTGGCGCATGGAGCGAGCAGCCCCATCTATAATATCACCATCCATTTTTCCTAGGGATTCACGCAGGAGGCATCCAGAAAACAGTGACTTTATTTTCCCCGCCAACTTCCCTAAGAAGGCAGAGTTACATGGTACCAAAATGACTGCATAAGCCAGCTCCTTAGATCACACCTCCAGTTCCTTCCCTCCCTAGTACTTCAAAGCTCCTGCTTCTTATTTTCTTAGATTTACCTTGGCTCCTTGTTCCTTTTTTACTTTCTCTTTATGAATTTGGTCAGTTTTCTTTCTCCTCTCTCTTATTCTCCCCCCAGGGTTTTTCCTATGGGGGGAAGGGGAAGTGAGCTCTTAGAAGAGACAACCCATGTCCTGGCTAACAAAAGAAAAAAGGCCAGCTATCACTCCCTCAGATCTACTTGCCACCAAGCCACCTGCAGTAGAAGAAGCTAGTGCCTTTCTCTGGAGCACTTAGAGCCACAGTTCTGATTTCTAACCTAGCCTTTCCAGTGCTGTCTAGGCTAAGGTGCTTATTGATGAGGGAGAGTGCTGGGGTGCAATGGAGGTTGGCTGGGATTTTAGCCAGCCCGTTCAGTCTTTTGATGGTTTGCCTCTAGGCTGGGATAAGTTTCAGTGTCTCTTCTATCAGCTAAAGCTTTGCCAGGGTAGCAGTTTTTGGCAGGAAAATGGCAGCCACTTAAAATTAGGTTTTATGCATGAAACCTCCACTCCACCATCTTGGATAGAGAATTTGATAGCCCTCCTTTCATCTGGCCAGTAGAGGGCAGAATCCTTCCCCCTTCAACCTAGACCAGGGGTCTGCAACCTTTAAGACAAAAAGAGCCACTTGGACCCGTTTCCGAAAAAACAACAACAACTGGGAGCCGCAAAAACATTGCAACATTTAAAACAAATATAACACTACATATATTGTTTCTGGCCTTAATGCTATATATACAGGATCGTGCAGTCAGCTGTCAATCTCAAGAAAAAAGGACAAATTAATAGCTAATTAAAATATTTAATTTACAACCAGGTAACCAGGTTAATGGGACTTTTGCTCCTGAACCTCAGTGCTCAGTGTCTGCACATCAGGGCTGTAAGACGTCACCTTCATTTTCACACAGGCTTGCAAGCTGTCATCTGTGAGGCGTGATCGGTGCTTGTTTTTAATATAGTTCATGTTGGAGAAGACCTGCTCACATACATATGTGGAAGAGACCACAAGGGCCATCGAGTCCAACCCCCTGCCAAGCAGGAAACACCATCAGAGCACTCCTGACATATGGTTGTCAAGCCTCTGCTTAAAGACCTCCAAATAAGGAGACTCTACCACACTCCTTGGCAGCAATTCACCAAACTTTCACCTGCTTAAGTTTAAAAAGGGGCTTCAAGCAACTAAAAAGGGGCTTCAGGCAACTAACTCCACGTGGAATTCCACGCGACCGCGACTGCATAATCAATGCCACAAAATGCCAAAGAAAATTAACCAGGGCCCCAGTGAACCATAAATCATAATCAGTGCCTGATGTAAATAATAATTAATAATGAGGGCCCAATGTCATCCTCATCATTATAAAAATAATCCCTCTCTTCGTGCCGCCCAGCCTCCCAAGAAAAAAACCCCACTTCAAATGGTCACAAAGCACAAATTCCACGCGACCGCGACTTGCTATGCCCAATAATCAATGCCCCAAAATGCCATAGAAAATTAATCAGGGCCCCAGTGTACCATAAATCATAATCAGTGCCTGATGTAAATAATAATTAATAATGAGGCATTCGTCATTATAAAAATACCGTATTTTTCGCCCCATAGGACGCTCCGTCCCATAGGACGCACCTAGTTTTTTGGGGGGAAATAAAGGGGGAAAAAATTCCCTTTATTTCCCCCCCAAAAGCAGGTCGGGGAAACTGAACCAGGTCGAGGAACAGCGGGATGGCGGCGCTTCGCCTCCCTGCTGTCCCCCGAGCTTGTGGGCTGGCCGATGCCTGCGGGGCGGCAGGCTGCTATCCGCAGCGTGGGGAGCCTTGCCGGGAAGTCCGGCAAGGCTCCCCACGCTGCGGATGTCTGCCTGGCAAGGGGGGCGCTCTGCTTTAGGGCGCCCCGCCCGCCGGGCAGCAGGCTGCTATCCGCAGGGTGGGAAGCCTTGCCGGGACCTCCGGCAAGGCTCCCCACGCTGCGGATGTCTGCCTGGCGAGGGGGGCGCTCTTCTTTACGGCGCCCCGCCCGCCGGGCGGCAGGCTGCTATCCGCAGCGTGGGGAGCCTTGCCGGGACCTCCGGCAAGGCTCCCCACGCTGCGGATGTCTGCCTGGCAAGGGGGGCGCTCTGCTTTAGGGCGCCCCGCCCGCCGGGCAGCAGGCTGCTATCCGCAGGGTGGGAAGCCTTGCCGGGACCTCCGGCAAGGCTCCCCACGCTGCGGATGTCTGCCTGGCGAGGGGGGCGCTCTTCTTTACGGCGCCCCGCCCGCCGGGCGGCAGGCTGCTATCCGCAGCGTGGGGAGCCTTGCCGGGACCTCCGGCAAGGCTCCCCACGCTGCGGATGTCTGCCTGGCAAGGGGGGCGCTCTGCTTTAGGGCGCCCCGCCCGCCGGGCAGCAGGCTGCTATCCGCAGGGTGGGAAGCCTTGCCGGGACCTCCGGCAAGGCTCCCCACGCTGCGGATGTCTGCCTGGCGAGGGGGGCGCTCTGCTTTAGGGCGCCCCGCCCGCCGGGCAGCAGGCTGCTATCCGCAGCGTGGGAAGCCTTGCCGGGACCTCCGGCAAGGCTCCCCACGCTGCGGATGTCTGCCTGGCGAGGGGGGCGCTCTTCTTTACGGCGCCCCGCCCGCCGGGCGGCAGGCTGCTATCCGCAGCGTGGGGAGCCTTGCCGGGACCTCCGGCAAGGCTCCCCACGCTGCGGATGTCTGCCTGGCGAGGGGGGCGCTCTTCTTTACGGCGCCCCGCCCGCCGGGCGGCAGGCTGCTATCCGCAGCGTGGGGAGCCTTGCCGGGACCTCCGGCAAGGCTCCCCACGCTGCGGATGTCTGCCTGGCGAGGGGGGCGCTCTTCTTTACGGCGCCCCGCCCGCCGGGCGGCAGGCTGCTATCCGCAGCGTGGGGAGCCTTGCCGGGACCTCCGGCAAGGCTCCCCACGCTGCGGATGTCTGCCTGGCGAGGGGGGCGCTCTGCTTTACGGCGCCCCGCCCGCCGGGCGGCAGGCTGGTCACCTCCGCCCCTCGCCTCCGCCCCTCGCCTCCTCCCCTCGCCACCGCCCCGGAGCCGCAGCAAAGGCTTTAAAGAGCCGCATGCGGCTCTGGAGCCGCAGGTTGCCGACCCCCGACCTAGACCTTCTGGACTTGGTGTGCTTTTACAAACTGGCCACTTGGCTCCCACTCTTTTGACAACCTCCCTCATCCAGGCAGTGGTGCTCTTTCATTCCCTCCTACAGGCCTGACTAGCTCTTCTCAGCTCAGCAGCTTCTTACTCAATAATGCAGCCCTTTACCATCACTACTTAGGCCTGGTTAGCACGTCTAGGTTCAGCAGCCATCCACCCAATACAGCCTTTTTCTTCTTCTAGTCTGGCAGTTAGGATCAAAGGCTTATTAAGGGTCCATCTCCAGATATGCCGCACTCTCCCCTTGTACAACTGTTCAGAGATATTATTGAGGCTTACATCAATCAGCATTTTGCTCTAGCCCTACATCCAACTTGCTCTGGGAAAAGGGACACATTTTAAGTCACCATACCTCAGATTTGTCTGCTTCTCCTTCCAAAGATTTAAGCCATTCTGAAAAGACTTTAAAAGTCTAAAAATACTTTTTTGCATGGCCACAATCGTAAGAAATCGGACAAATATCTGCATTGCATTTTTTCGTATTCCTCAGAGGAATCGTTGGAGGTCTTGTCTGTCCTGCAAACTCTTCAGGACAGCTGGTGGCTAAACATGCTAGGAGGGGTCCTGGGTCCTGTATTTCTCCTGGGTTAGTGCCATTTCTTCATCATAGGACCTCTCCCCAGGGCAACCAGCCCTTTGATCCCTCCCTGATTTGGCTTAGCTTAGGTAAGTAATAGGGACGCGGGTGGCGCTGTGGGTTAAACCACAGAGCCTAGGACTTGCCGATCAGGAGGTCAGCGGTTCGAATCCCCGCGATGGGATGAGCTCCCGTTGCTCGGTCCCTGCTCCTGCCAACCTAACCGTTCGAAAGCACATCAAAGTGCAAGTAGATAAATAGGTACTGCTCCGGCAGGAAGGTAAACGGCATTTCCGTGCACTGCTCTGGTTCGCCAGAAGCGGCTTAGTCATGCTGGCCACATGACCCAGAAACTGTCTCCGGACAAACGCCAGCTCCCTCGGCCAGTAAAGCGAGATGAGCGCCGCAACCCCAGAGTCGGTCACGACTGGACCTAATGGTCAGAGGTCCCTTTACCTTTTAGGTAAGTAATACTGTTTTCTGGATGCCTCCTGGATGCATCACTGGGAACAGAATGTTGGTCACTTTCCATTAATGTTCTTTCATGGGGTGTGCAGGAGGCATCCAGACACACCCTTTGTATGGGCCTGGGCTCCAGCATCTGATTTGTGCCATGTCTATTTGGAGGGGTTACTTTTTACTTTTCTTTTCTAGGCTCTCTTTATTTTGCTCACAAGTGCTTCTCTGATGGCTCTTTCTCCAACTCGAATATGGTTGAAACTGGAGATGGAGTCTTAGGAGTTGAATGATGCAATCGTTTTGGTATCATGTGACCCCACCTGTCCTAGGGCAGCGGGTAGTATTAATCCACTGTTTACTGGATTCCCCCTGCATGCCCCCAGAAAGAATGTTCATGGTAAGTGACCAACATTCCATTCTATGCATCATGTAGATTACTTGGCATAGATGCATGCCAAGTTTCTACGGTGATATTTCACACCAGAACTTTCTGAAATGGCACTTTTAACCCTCTGTCAACAAGTGGAAATCAAATGTACCCTGATAAAACTGGGGGGAAATGTAAATTTTTTTTGGTCAGTTTTCCACAATTCCATGTTCAAGTCAGTTCTCATCTATGTCAATGTGCGAATTGCCATGTGGTGTTTCAGGTCTCCTCTCCTTAATTTAATTAAAAAATTTTTTTTACTCTCAGTGCCAAGTCTACTTCTGTTAGAATGACAGGGTTGTTTTTTTAATCACTTAAGATGCTTGGAGGTGACCGCAAAGTGGAAAAACAGTATTATTTTTCCATAATCAATTAATCAGTCACTTCTGTTAACATCACCACAAAAAGCATCAGGGGTCAGAAGTGCTCCTCAGTTTTTGCAAAATTTATTTATTACCCTGATTTTTTAAAAATATTTTTCCAGTTAGAACCTTGTCTGTGAATCTTGGTGCCCACCCCACATCATAGTTATCATTTTTGTGCAAAACTTACAGATCTGGCTTTGGGGCCTACTGCAACCCCAATGGCATCTGCAAATCTTTGTAAGAAACCAGCGCACTCACCTCAATTGGTGGTAAGACTTAATAGCAACTCTCAGTCAAAGACCTGGGCCCGGAATATGAATGAACTCTTAATATGCATATCCTGCCCCATCTGAATGCCCTATATGCAGAATAATATTTTTCACTGAAGACCATCTCATTATCTAGCATGTAAGAAAAGATTCAGGCAGACTCTGCTCTCATGGAGCTTTGTATGTAAATTGGGGCTCCACAAAGCTTCAGATTATGCCCTCTAAAGTTTAACTGGGGCATACAGTTATATAATTCTCTATTCAGGGGTGGGAAAGAGAAGAAAATCAATACAACCTAGCCAAGTAACATATTTAAGCCACACTGATTTAAGTGTATGAAAATAAAATAAGAGCTAAAAGTACTTAAAAATGTGTTCATTTTTATACTATATTTTTGAATTGACAGGGAATTGCAGTTACTGACTATTAGGTGCATATTTTACATCTAGGAAGATGATATGGGGAAGAAGAGCGCTAATGGAATTTAGTTTACAATTTGAAACGTAATTCATCAGTTTCTAATATATTGTATATTAGGGGAAATGAAGAAATTTAACCTTTTTGGCTTTCAGCTGCAAAATGAATGGGAATCGTCTCACTCTGAAACCGAACTCCTCAAAAAACAACTCACTAATGAAAGAATTTCAATTAAAAACCTAGAAACATTGTTAGCATCCAACCGTGAAAAGGAATATCAATCTCAGATGATAAGCCAAGAAAAAGAGTCTGAAATTCAGCTTCTTAAAGAGCAGCTTTCGCTGGCTGAAAACAAGATGTAAGTTAGTGACTGGTAGAAACAACACAGTTCTTCTAGATTTGAAACCACTATATTAATTTTTGTTAGTATGCCCATCTTTATACTAAGTGGGAAAGATTTTTTGGTGATAAAGAAAGAGAGCACTGATAGGGATTAATAGCCACCTGCACGAGGAATTCTTGGAAAAGAAGGCAGCCTGAAAAATGGAAGAAAATTATTTTTGTGATTGGAGCAGGTTGCAAGTTATAAAATTTCCCCTCCCTCCCAAATCCTGGACTAATCATGATTCTACCCCCGTTGCCCTGTGAAAGTAACTGGTGTTTGTGTGATTAGGAAATCGGCACAGAAAGTGTTAGAAACATTTGTGCATGCTTTTTGTTTATATGTCTAGGTGTGGATATATTTCTGTTCAGTGACGTTTGAAATTTTAAGCACTGAATATATTCAATTCCTTTTGAGAGCCGAAATATCCCATAATTGTTTTTTTGTTTTTGCTTTTACCCTTCTCCAACTTGTTTTTTATACTGAATACACTGAACGCTATTCTTGAAAAGCTAATTGTATTGGGGTTTATGGTCAAACATGAGAGCGAATCCATTGAAATCAGTGAGACTTGGTTATGATTACTCTGTGGGTCTACTTTATACTTGTTTAAGTCTGAATTCAACCCATTGTTTATTTTACAGTATTTGAAAAATTGCATCCATTCAGTTCAAATGATACTTTTGTCTGTTATAGTGCTACCCAGAGTCGAGATTTTTCACAGCTCAAAAATACAATAACTCAATTGGAGTCTGAGTTAGATATCACCAAAAGGCAGCTGGGTACAGAACGCTTTGAAAGGCAAGTGTATGATCACATATTTAGTCTTCTGTTATTTTTCCAAATAAGATCACATGCAATCATGCTAATTTAAAAAAGAGCCATATACATATTTTCTAAAAGCATCATAGCAGTAATCTTATATTCACTGGAACTAAGGCTGTAATTGAAAGCATATTTATTAGGGAGCCTAGGGCTTGCCAGTCGGAAGGTCGGCGGTTCGAATCCCTGCGACAGGGTGAGCTCCCGTTGCTCGGTCCCAGCTCCTGCCAACCTAGCAGTTTGAAAGCACATCAAAGTGCAAGTAGATAAATAGGTACTGTTCTGGCGGGAATGTAAACAGCGTTTCCGTGCGTTGCTTTGGTTTTGCCAGAAGCGGCTTAGTCATGCTGGCCACATGACCCGGAAAAACTGTCTGCGGACAAACATCGGCTCCCTCGGCCAGTAAAGCGAGATGAGCGCCGCAACCCCAGAGTCGTTCACTACTGGACTTAACTGTCAGGGGTCCTTTAACCTTACCTTTACCACTGCTGTGGTACCTACGGTCCCTTTAATGGCCTACTGCACTGTGTTCCAGAATAAGCTGGCAGAAACATATGTATCGTTTTGCATTTTAAAATGTCCACTGACTTAAATCACCTTGCATGCAGGAAATGTGATAGATGCAAAGTGGACAAAAAAATCCTAAAGTTTGGCCAACTAATATTTCCTTCCTAATCCTGCAGCAGATGAAGCTCTCTACATCATCAGATTGAGGAGTGATAGGATGGCAGCTTGTCTGCATTGCCAGCCAGTGCTAAATCCTTCCCATTCACCTCTTGAGTGAACATGCCTAGACCTGTATGTAGGCCCACTTGAACAGAGCTTCAGTTTGCCAGTGTGGTGAATGGTTACCCAAATGGACAATTAGAGAAGATGAGGTGATATTTGAGGACAGACCACAACTCAGTGGTAGAGCATGTGTTTGAATGTAGAAGGTCCTAGGTTCAAGCTGTAGCATGTCCAATTTTTAAAAGAGCCAGCTAGCAGGTGATATGAAAGGCCTCTGCTTGAGAATGCAGAGAGCCACTACCAGAGTAGACAGTACTAAGCTAGATGGACAAAAAAATCTTACCTGATATAAAGTAGTTTTCTATTTTTCTACACAGGCAGCAACCATTTTAGGTGTGTCCAATTGATGTGCAATTGCCAGAGCACGGGTCCTTTTGGACCCGGAAGAGGGCATAACAGGGGCAGGGGCACTTATGTTGTGTTGATGCACACAGAGGCTGGGAACGGAACCCCGGTACAAAATGGTCACCATCTGTACTTTTACACCCAAAGCCTGTGTTGGCCTTCCTCCTGGCTTTGTGGAACAATCTGTCTCCATTCCCCATCTTTCAGCGTTATAGTCTGTCTGAAGAACAATCTTGGTGAGAATCTTCACCTTTTAGCTTGTTGTATTTACCCCATCTTCAGATAAATTACCCTTTTGTTTTAGAGAGCGTGCTGTCCAAGAGCTTCGCCGCCAGAGTCTGGGAGCTCCATACCAATTAACTTCTACAATAAGGACATCATCACCTGAACGTTCTCGGCACCGGTCTTCTGACAAGTCTCTGGACAGATCTTCGGAATGGTGAGAACATTACCTTACTTAGTAGTGATATGAGATCTTAGCTCTGAAATAATGCGCTTTTTATTCTGTTATATGTCCTGCACGGTTGTAGAGTTCAGGAACAAATTTGTTTGGGCATCAATATAAAGTCTTTTCTCCTCACTCATAAGATAATGGTTGTATTCACATGAACAAAGGCCACACACACCCCAGAAACCATGCTCTTGTTCATTATGTGTTTAGAAGTAAAATGGGAATGAGGTATACTTCCTCACTCTTCACTTCCAGATCACCTGAGGGTAGAGATGCTAACTTTTCCTGTGGGGAGATAAGTATTCTGTTTTTCCCAAGTTCTGTACTGTCATCACTGATGTTTTCAGACAGTAACTGTTACTGATTTGTAGACCACCCTTGCTATGCCTACATTCATTCTTGAACCTTTGCTTCCAGGATTGAGCATGACTACCGTTGCCCCTTTCCTTAGTGCACGATGTATTGGTTGTTAAGCATGCAATAGGCCTGAGATGAGGAGTAGTGTAATGCTTGTTGATATCATAAAGGCACTGATGCCTTGTTACACCTGGGAAAGGTCATTTTCTTTCCCTGTGCAGTTCATAAGGGGTAAAAGCATTTGCAGTGTTCTCTACTATGTGAAACATTGGAGGTTCCCCCAAAAGTCTTCTCCCTTCCCCTCCTTCTCAGTTTTTTGACAGTATCTTTCCCATTCATATCAACTAGTCAGCTCAAGAGAGGAAGGCAGACGGATGAACTCGCAGATGTGTGTGACGTTAGTACGGAAGATACCCTAGAAGATAAAATCTGTTTGAAATGTCTTTCTTTGGGGATACAGCATTATACATATGAATAAAAGTGTTTATACAATCTAAAGTGCACATGGTTTCAATCCTTCATTTTTCACTAACAAGTCTCCCCACCGGTGTAATTTTGGTGCACATGAATCCAAGCCACCTCTACTTTAATCACATTGTCTTACACAGCTTATTTAATTTTACTCTGTAAAATTAATCACCTCTACTGTTCTTTTGGGGGTCATATGATGGCTACAGGGAAAAACGAGCCCATGTAAATTGCACAGCCTGTGTAGAATTGACTATGTAAACTTCATGCTCAAGTTAGTAGGGATCAGTGTATAATAGCCAGTTGCCATGGTAGCCTTTGAGCAGTTGAGATTGGCTGTCTGTGCCAAAGCTTCCTTATCATGTTTGTGCACAAAATTCCTGTTAATGTATTTTCACATTAGATGTGTATGTTTAAATAAAAGCAGCACTGTGCTCTTATAGAATATTTAACAAGATGCCTCACTGTTCCTACTCTGTACCTAACTTTTAGCAGAAAAATTGTGCACATATTATAGGCCAGGGTAAGGGGTTATCTTACCAGCTGAGTAGAGTTGGTTCTCTTTAACATGCCATACTAAAGTTAAAAGCACAGTGTTGCAACGTGCTTAGTATGGAAAAGAGGCAGGAGGAGTTACGAGGAACTGCAGGGGGAAAATGGCCATTTTAGAATTTGTATAAAACCAGAAATATATACAGTAGCATTAAGTTAACTCCATTCATATTATATATAAAGCAGAAGATGGGGGAGGGTCTTAATACACCAGTAAATTTCATGGGAGTGAGGCATTCAACATTCCCCCTTAGGGTTCCCCACACTTCATTAACTATCCCAGACACTTTTCTGTTGGTCCTGATACTGAAAGTGAGTCAGGAACACAGAAAAGTGGCTGGAGGAACAGTTTACTTGAAGGATTATCTTATCCTATATGTGCCACTCGAATGTTTCATATTTTCTATTGAATATTTTGAATCATTTTATGTAAACAGTTTAAAGGTTGATAAATTAAACAGTATATAAATATTGTTAAATATACATTTGGGTTTATGGGGATTGTTTTGTCAGAGCTTATTTTGATGATAAGTGAAGGACCAGGCTGAGAACTACAATAGACTAAAAGTTCTTGTGAGATATTTTAAACAAATGAAGAAGTGAGCAATGAAAGAGGCTAGGTTTTGTAAGTGAATTGAGTTATAAATGCATGGTGATTTTTAGCATGATTGTTTTTTAAAAACAGTTTATTAAGGGCCTTATAATTGAAACCAAGGAAAATAACTTACTCATATTACTTGATTTGAGGGGCAACTGCCATTACGTACTGGATAATGTTAAACACCACAATTTTCCATCTTTTATAGGGATTCTATTTTGAAGAACTTCTAACTGAAGAAGATAATGAAAAAAAGTCTGATATCTATTATTAGAAATGCAAATGCCAAATTGAACTCAGGTTTACTAAAATGATTGTTTTAATCCAGTTGATGGTGGATAAGGTTCAGAATACTTCTTAAAAGAAGGAGTGTGCACACACAAATATTTTATTTTAGCCACTGGAAAATAAGTTTTAATATGCTGTTTTATGCAACCAATATCCACTCTTAGTACATGAAACTGCAAAGAAATGTGAAGATGACTTCAGCTGCATGCTGTCAAAGAAACATTATTAAGGAACCTATCGCTGTAAAGATGAAAACAGAAAACAGTTTATCCTTTCTTTTATCTGTTGTAGCTTGATTGTATGCCTGCTAAGTTACGACACATTTTCACTTCAGGAGGAAAGACATTTTTAAGATGAATTATATTTAATATATGTGGTTTAATTTTGACTACAAATCTGATGTTAAATTAATTAGTGGCTTGGATCCTAACTTCCATTCTGTGAAGAGCATTCACATTCACTGAACAGAGCTCTACAACCTCCTTACAGAAAATCTGGTTCTGGAGATTGCGGGACCCATAGGAAACGGGTCAGATATAGTATGGCAGGGCTGCAGATGGGGGGGGGGGAGTTTATGGCAATCACACTCATCCCTTGGGTGAAGAGAAAAGTAACTTAGGATTCAATCCAAAGTATCAAAAAGCAATTTGTTTTTAAAGTTAAACAAACAACAATCTACTTATAGAAATAATAGTGTCAGCTCCTAGTTCATATATATCCATTAACAGCGATGTGCTGGCTCTGTAGCTATATAACCCATTCTAAGCATTAAGTATTTTGGGGAGACAGCATGTCTTCATCAGGCTGTAACTGGGTAACATGTTTAAATTCTGAATAATGTCACAGTGTCTAAGAAAGTGTATTTGTAGTGGCCATTAAATATGTCATTTGTAAATAATAAAAACCCCGTTAACACTTGTTTTAATTTGCAGTTTACAAAAATACATACTGACAATAACACATACTCAGCTATGAAAATTACATTATTTAAAGTACAGCCATTGCAAATGGTATTTAACACTCTATAGAACATTCATTTAATAAGAATTTTTCCAATTTTTCCTTATTAGAAGCCACTTGTTTTATTATAATGAAACACAATTCCTTATTCAGTGCAGCTGAAAAAGATAGTTTTCAGTAGTCCTTTCTTTTGTGTGCTAAGCCAATTTCTAATTATGTTTCATCTAAGTGCTTGTTTGTTTTTTTGAGATGATGGACATAAAACGATTAAGCCCTTTTCAGTATTGTTTCCATCTCCAAAAGCTTTACAGAACTTTAAATCCTAAAAATGTATTGAAACCTCCCTCACCCCATCATTTTAAAGCTACATATGCAAGTATGTGTAACAAGATGGATTTATAAACTTTATATAGAAATATATTAACTCTGAAAAACTTCCCCAGCAGCTTTATTATTCAACACATTTCATTCCTTCCTACCAGTTACGACTCAGGGGAAAGTCAAATTTTAATTTTAATTGTAAAATGTTCCTTGCAAGCACATAACAAAGAAAAATTAAAGCTAGTGTTTATAGAATTGTAAGGGCATGCCCAAAGATTCCAGTTTGACCCCTCAATTGAAAAACCTATCTTTGTAGTACCACTTAAGCAACAAAATTGCTGTATCATAGTGCTTTTGAGATTCCTCCTGACTTTACTAAAATATTACCTTTCTAGACCCTATAGGTTTCCTGCTTCTCTGCAACTAATCTTACTTTGTAATATGTGAAACTGAATCCTTGTTCTGAAATCGTCATCACTTTAAAGGGGAAGGAAAAGGGAAGAGCCAAAAGATATCAAATAACTCCTTTCTAGAGAGGTAACAATTCTCACTCTTCTTGTAATCCTTTGGGTGAAGAACCAGTGAACTGAGAATTCATCATTCCTTGCTTCTTATTGATGATGTTTTCATTTATCAGTCTTCTCGACATCCAAAAAGGAAACAGATGTGTCGTTGTATTCAAATCAGTGCTGAACCAATGGTTTCCTCCACTTCTGTTATTCTGAGCATTATATTACTTGCCTTTGCTTAATTCTCTGAATGTTATAAGAATGACATTTATTCTATAAGATAAATTCATAAAATTTGGACACTGTTTGTAACAGACTTTATTGTATATACCTGTGCAAATGAATGCGTGAATCAAACCTAAGGTAAGATTCTCTGTTATCAAAACTTCACTCACCACTTTTTTTATCAGCATAAAGGTGCCAGGTTTGAGACTAAATATGGGGGAAAAACCTTTTTCCAAGAGTCAATATTTAGAAAGCAGAATATACAACGGTCAATATGAGCAACTTGCAAGTATATGTATAACCAAGGTGTTAATTGCTATAATCCCCTCCCCACAAACTAACTTCTCCCAATACTTCTTTGGCACAGAAAGAAGTGAATCAGATAGCATGTGTGTGCATACAAGAAAACTTGATTTGTGTATAACTGTTTTTATTTAGTGTAATCATTACATTGGCATTTAAGTGCAACTAGTTCCCCCCAAAAAAAACAGGTAGAAAAGTTTGCTGAACAGTATGGCATGATGACAACTACATTGTCTTCGGAGTCTTCCTGTTAAATAATAAATTCAATGTAATACTGGCCTGGTTCACACATAACAGGAAACCATGGTTTCTTACCATATGAACAAGCTGCAGTAAGCCTTGGACTTAAGTGCTACTCCTCTCTCAATATATTTTCAGATTCTGATTTGTTCTCACTGACAAGTTTAAACAAACCACTTACCCAACTTTGGACAAAACGAGGCTGGAGAGGCTGCATAATTCTATGGGATAACTCATGGTTAATTCAGTATTACGTGTAAATCAGACCATGGGTCTTTTTCTGCAGGTTTACAATTCCCTTGTTTCTTTTAAAACAAATAAATAAATTGCACAACTCCCCGGTGTTGTTGTTTTAATTGGTGGGTGAAAGGTTTCTTGTTGAGTTCACAGAGTGCAATTTCTACAGTTGTATTATATGCAGTCTTGCTGATGAACGTAATTATTGTACTAGTCTGAAACAATTAGTACACCCACTGAATCAACTTAGCCTTACAATTGCTACTATTAGACCACATCACTTGATAACTAAAAGCTTTTCAAAACTGATTACTTAGTTGGGAATATAAAGGTGAAACAAAGGTAAACAAACTATTGTCTTCTTTATGTAATTGCGTGGGTGTGGTTAACATGGTATAGGAAAGTTTGTTCTTTCCCACATGGTGCAGCTAAGAAAACAGTGAGTGTATCAGTCATTGCACATTGTTCTCTAACCTTGCCCCCCTGCTCAAATTCAGAAACAAACCTGAGCTGTGCAGATTTGTATTAGAAATCTGGCCACCATTCTGCATCCTCCTCAGTGCCTTGGACCTAGTGTTCTTCGGGAGAATTGGGGGTCTGGAAAGGAATAGAGGCAACAAGCAACAACACAGTGCAGAATATTCAGAAGGGAAATCGCCAAAGCTGTCCTTTTCTTTTTCAAACTGCAAATAGGGGAATCATATTTTAAATTAGTCCACTCACTATAAAACAGTGGTTCCCAACCTTTTTTGGGCCATGCCCCACCTAAGCATCTTTAAAATCCTGATGCCACCCCCATGACATTTAATTCTTATTCAAAAAGTGAACTCCACGTGGAGGAAGCCTAAAAGGCTATTCACTGTTAATAACTCATTCTCTAATTGACCCCCTTAAAAATCAAATTGCCCCCCATGGGGTGTGTTGCCCACGTTGGGAATCACAGCTATAAAACACAAACACAAACACATTTGTTTTATTTGAGATGTGTGTTTTCAGAATCCACACTATTCCTGTGATTGTCATTGGTTTTGTTTTTAATAATTTCTAAACGTTATATTGTTCATAACCTGCCTTGGGACCTGGTGAAGGGCAAGTGGTGTTGGTGTTGATGATGATTTTAACAACAAACACCACCACTACCACCTTAAGAGGAATATCTCGGAGGTAAGATGTAGGGCACACAGATAATGAAAATCTCCCCTCCCAGTCTGAATGTGACCACCTCAGTATACACTTTATTCTGCAAGACTTGCTCAAATAAAATATTTTTTCCATTTTTTATTTTCGTAGATGATGTGTCTATGCAAATTAAGTGTTTAATTTCACAAACTGATTTGATGAACCTATAAAGCCCCACGTTTGTTGCCAAATGTGTTCACTAGACATAGCTATATTGTTAGAAGAATAATTCTCTATTGTCAGTAGAATTATATATGAGAGAAATATGATGGTATTTTAACAACTCCAATTTGGGGTGATAACCAAATATGTTTTATAATTCACTATATATCCCAAACCTGACAGTAATAGTCCAAATTAAATATATCCAGTCACTCATATCCTAACATTAGGCAAACTCACTACAGTAGTTAAGATAAAATGTGAGGGCATCTACGTGCCATATGCATACTCGGAGTAGACCTGCTGAAATTAGTAAAGAACTTAAATCCATTTATTAAAATTGATATACCCTGAGTATGACTAACACTGAATATCAAAGAATTTTCATTTGAGGATCTTTGGCAGTTAAACAGGACTTCTCTTAACACTTTTCTAAGACTTTTGTTTGTGTGGAACTTTCAACTTGTTTTCCTTTGCCTGAAACAGAATTCCCACATCCGGCTGCTTTGATCAGCGTCGTCACCAGGTAAATAAAGCTATTACTTCATACGGAAATGGAATTTTCCTTCTTTCAGATATGTTCTACGATTCCACACTCAACTTTAATCTTCTTTGGACACTGCTCTCTCTGCCGCGCAGAAAGTCCCAGCTCAAAATCCTGGTTGGCTAAATTAGAAATACTCGGGAGTAGCAGGACGGACCTCTGCCGTTTAATAAGTATTTTCTTCTTCTTCCAAAAGACAGAGTAACCGTCGCTTGCTCTTGCAGCGAAAAGCGTGACTGCAAAGTAGCAAGTTGATGGGCATGAACCATTTCTTATGCCAGGACAAACATGTTAGCTTCTGAGGTGGCAAGTCGTTGTCTTCCCATTTCTTTTCAAATCGATCGATCGATTTTATTCATGTTTAGGTCAGCAGAACTATACCACCAAGAACATCGCAACGTATTGGTGGTCATCACAACATCCTACAAGAATAAAAGTTGTGCAACTCGGGTTAAGGGAAGATAAACCTCCCGTATTGCTTTTGACCTGAAAACTACCCACACGCAGCTCAGGTAAAGCACCTGTTCGCTGGCTGGGTTCATATTCCAAAAACCACTGTATTCGGTGGCGGAGGTGGGAATTCCTTTGAATTGAATTCGAAGAACCTGACAAACGGAGGTTGCCACCCGAGGACATGGGAGCAAACGTAACGGGACCTGCTTCCGAGTAGACCGTGGAGCCAAGTGACCGACTACACTCTCCCGCCAAACGAGAGGCGCGCCGGGCAGCTGGAGCCCAGTCCCAGCTTTCCCAGCGCTTTATCCGCTTTCTTGGGGCTTTTCCTGCCATGGGCGGCAACGCAGGGAGAAGGAGGAGGAGGAGCGGCGAGGCCAGGTTGCGTTGCCTTGCAGGGTCGGTCCCAGGGCAGGCGGGGCTGCTTAAAGCGAGCCTCGGGCACGCTCGCTCCCTTCCCGGCTCTAGCCAGAGCCAATGAGCCGCTCCTCGAGCGCCTGGCTCGCCTGGCTGGCAGCGCCGCCCGGGGCAACACACTCCGCCTCCTCAAGGTGCCTGGGAGGCTCCCTTCCCGCCTCCAGTCGCAGCCGGTTCGCCCGCTGACTGGAGAGACCCCGCGTTGCTGGCGTGCGTGTGAAGCAGCAAGGTGGGTGGGTGTAGGCGACCCTGGAGGGCCGGGCAGCGTTGCAGTTCAGGGAGTTAGTTGCTAAGGGCGAGTTTCCGCGGAGTTGCAAGCAGCGCACCTGCCTGGCGCGCGGTTCACCTTTCAGCGCCGCCATAGGCGAGCAGGCCAGGAGTTTTTAAACCTCCTCGGCTTCCTCTTCCGCGCGGCCCAGTCCTCTCCGCGTTTAGTTCAGTCAGTAAGGACTTAACTTTCAGGTAAGTGCTGGGACCTGCTTTCCTGTAACCTGCGCTGTTCTTAGCTGTGAATGGACTCTGGGATAACAGCCCTGTGAGAGCACCATAGGATGCTTCCTCATCCTCTTGCCAGAAATTGAAACGGGTTTTTCGTTTGTATGCTTGAGATCCCTTAGCCTGGGTTAGTTATCCTGGAACTACCTTCTTGTGTTCACTGTCTGAGTGGTTAAATAATAATAATAATAATAATAATAATAATAATAATAATATGTACCTTGCCCATCTGACTGGGTTGCCCCAACCACTCTGGGTAGTTTCCAACATATATAAAAACATAATAATATATTATATTATACATTTAAAGGTTTCCCTATACAGTTGGAAGGGGCGATCCTCCTTTTCATTTCCAGCAAAAGATATGCAGGTCATAGTTTCCTTTTTCCCCTTTTCATTGTGTAGATGGAACCAAACACCAGTCATGGAAGATCGTATCTCTCTGGGCTGGTTAAATGGTTTTCATTTTCATATAATAATAACCAGGGATTATTAGAACTTTAGTAGAAGGCTGTGAAGAAACATGCATGGAAGGGTGTTTCAACACCATGTTTTACTACTTCTGATCCATGTTGATTGTCAGTTCATCAGTAGTAACTAATCTGCATAAAAGTTACAATCCTATTCCTGTCAGAGTAAGTCCCACTGAATTCAATAGGGATTACTTTGAGGTAAATGTGTATAGGATTTCAGCCTAAGTGATAGTAAATACACATTCTGACTGTAACTGTTACTACGGATTAATCCCAAATAGAAGAGGAGGTGCCACCCTCATCCTTATTGATGGAGCTGATCCACTTTTGCATGTAGCACAAGAAAGATGAAAAACCTTTACACCTTGACCCTAAGCAAGTCCCACTATATGTATGCTATCATGAAAAGCTCCTCCATGTATTCATAAGAATGAAATCCTAGCCCTGCTTAATCTGGGAGTAGGCCTCACTGAACTCAGTAGGGCCTATTTCTGGAGACCATGCTGTTTATGTATTTTAAAGTTTGCAACTCTAATAGCAGTTCCATTTATGTAAATCTCTCACTGAGTATTTTGGAAGCTGCCTCCTTTTCCCTGTTGATGTGTAAGGTTTTGGTGTAGGTGGATGCTCACGTTCTTTAAACAAGTCAACATTCTGTTATCATTTCGGTTTACATTTTTCATCACAGTATTTCATTCCTTGAACTCTTGTTCCCTAAACTCTTGTACCAGAACAAAACATCAAAACATTTTAAGCTGATAGTATAGAGCACCCAAGATACCGACAAAGCTTAAGATTTCAATTGCTCTAGTTTCCATGCAGGTTAACCCATCTGTATGTGCAAAGAAATGCTTATGTAAGAATTCGATTCGCTCACAGAAAATGGGGTCAATTCATTTGTGTATTGCACTGTGTTATTTACATAGCATATGTGTGGCTAAATGTGTGAGCCATGGGATACTCAGTGAATACAGTCAACTCCTGATTTGTGCAGGAGTTGAGTTTTGAGTCATCGTCCATCCCTTTTTCCGGCCATGTCTGGGTTGCCACGATGTGCGCGGTCACACGTCAGTTGGTCATTGTAAATCGGTCATTGCCCATGCATGCCAAATTCATATAAGAAGTGGACCTTAGAGTTCATTTGATACAATTAATATGTAACTGGACAGCTTTATTTGGTATGTTATGCATGGGCATAGCCAGGATTTTTTTTAAAGAGGGGGCATGCTTTATGTTAGGAGGGGCAGAACTGAGTTATCTGTGACACAATTGGTCAGTTAAGTATTTTCATTTACTTACTTGATTGGTGGTGGGCAGCTGCCCCCCTAGCTATGCCCATGATGTTATGGATTATCAAATTTGCACTGTATTCAAGC